TACATATTATATTTATTGGCCTGTTTTCTCCAAGGAATACATAATTTATATTCTAGAGTCAGTAATGTAAAATGAAAATAAACTTTTCCCCAAAGACTCAGCAACCTATTGATCAGTAGTTCCTAAGAGAGGCATCCAGGAAAGGGGAGCCTGATGGCAGGCTGAAAGTGCTGGAATGTCTTAGTTAATACCAACTCAGGTAAAGGGGGTTGCCATAAACCTTTGTGGGAACCCAGGGCAGGAATGCAGTGATTCAGGGCCTCATGGAAACTGGAAAGCTGTTAGGATCTGAATCTTCTTTTTCAGATGCTCATATCTACTTCTACGTGTGGCTGTTTTCTCTGCTTGGTTCTTCAGGCTGTTTTTTTTTTTTTTAATTTGTTTTTGTTTTTTCACTGCTTATTAATTTACCTAGGGCCCAACATGTTGGCTTTGTGGCCATACCAAGCTGTGGCTAATCAGTGCTGCCTTTCCCCTCCCCAGATTTTTTGAGAAAGATAATTGAAAAATTTTAATTCTTTTTAAAAAAATGTCTTTCGTGGTTGGGGGGAGGGGAGTGGTAGGTGGGTTTCTATTCCTTGCACCTGAAAGTTTTTTTTTTTTTCCAAAGATATATTTTATTGATTTTTTTACAGAGAGGAAGAGGGAAGGATAGAGAGTTAGAAACATTGATGTGAGAGAATCATTGATCAGCTGCCTCTTGCACATCCCCTATTGGGGATGTGCCCACAACCAAGGTACATGCCCTTGACCAGAATCGAACCTGGGACCCTTCAGTCCGCAGGCCAACACTCTATCCACTGAGCCAAACCAGTTACAGTGAACCTGAAAGTTTTAACTAAGATAACTCCAGCACTGAGCCAAACCAGCTAGGGTAAATTTTTTTTATTCTTTTATAAATGTTATGTGAATGAAGAATCAAAAAATAACTCATTTTCTTCACTCTCCATCAACTAACTTGCATCTCTAAGGCTCCTTCAAAAACAGGAGGAAAAAAAACAACCCCACAACAAAACCAGAAATTCCTGAGCTGCTACTGGTAATCTCAGACTCATATTTATTGCTTTCCAAATGAGCTTTAGCTTTCCGACTCCAGCCTTCTGACTCCAGCTTTCAGTGCTACAGTTTCAGATTATCAGGAAGAAACCTGATTTATCCAGCTTGGGTCAAATGTCCAGTTCATTGGGCTACAATTACATGGTCTAGACATGGTCATCCAGCCATACCGCTTCAGCAGAGGGCAGTAGAAACCATTTCCAGAGGAGAGGGCATGGGCAGGTAGGGGCAGCAATTTCAGAGCCTTGTCAACAATAGAGGGAAAAGTTCAGTGTCCTGTAGTCCTCACTCTGGCTTGATCCATTTCTGGGCAGATCTAAGATATGGCGTCTCATCAAAGATGTCTACTCTTTGAGAGAAAGCTTAGGATATGTTCTGTAAACCTGGAATCTTTCAGGACTGAGTCAGGAGTAACTTAGAACTGACTCAGCATGAGGTCAGCATCAAGTATTTAGGAAGAACTGCCATTTATTGAGCTGAAGTATCTGTCATATTTTACAAAGGACAAATGAAGGCTTATTAGCTGAGCTAAGGATTTAAGAAAACTGGTATTACATGTCTGGGTATTCAGGCCAAGATTGCATGCTTTTAGAGTTCTTTGATTCTCCAGTTTCTCTACCTGACTATTAAGTCTTTGATTTTCCTTTATAGGTTGTGATTCCATTCACAATAAGACTTTTTTTTCCCTACATTGTGATTTCCTCCAGAGTAAGGCTTCTTTTTAATCTTCTTACCTAGCATTATTGGTGCTCATCATTATTAAGTGCATTGAGGACTAAATAGATGAAACTCATGTATTTATATGTCTGTCAAGTTTTAGCAATGTATTTATTGGAGAAAAATTGAAACCATTGGGTAAAATGATAGACTATTTTTGTTATTTGGAGCACTCTAGGCCACCAGGACCTTAGATTATTTTGAGTTGTCTATGCCTTCTCTATCCCTATGCTGATTTGGGACCTGATTTGATGAGCAGTGAGGAACCAGTAGTGGTAATTAAGAATTGGTCTGTGTTCAGTTATATTTCTATATTTAGAATTGACAACTACCACCCTATATCCCACTTATTTCTCATTTTCCTTCTCTGGAAATGAATCCATGCTTTTATTATTTTTAAATTTATTATTATTAAATTTATTTTGTATTAATAAACTGTTTTTTAGAGTAGTTTTAGATTTACAGAAAAATGAACAGAAAATAGAGTTCCTATATATCCCCACTCTCCTCCCCTCTATTCCTTTCTCCTATTAACACCTTGTATTAGTGTGTTGTATTTGTTAAAGTAACTGAGTAATAACTTATTAATAATTAAAATATGTGGTTTACTATTTTACATTATGGTTCATTCTTTTATATATATTCTAGAGGCCCAGTGCACAAAATTCTTGCATGGGGTGGGGGGAATGTAGGGGTGTGTGAGGTGGTTCCTCAGTCTGGCCTGTGCCCTCTCGCAGTCTGGGACCCCTCAGGGGATAGCCTGCAGTCAGACATTCCTCTCACAGTCTGGGGCTCTTGCAGTCCTGGGCTCCTCGCTCCTTACTGCCTGCCTGCAGCAGAGGCAGGAGAGGCTCCGACCACCACTGACTGCTATGCTTGCCAGCCTTGAGCAAGCTTCTGACTTGAGCCAGCATTGACCACCAGGGGAAGCTCCTGTGTTGAGTGTCTGCCCCTTGGTGGTCAGTGCACATCATAGCGACTGGTCGTTCTGTCGGCTGTTCTGCTGTTAGTTCAATTTGCATATTAGGGTTTTATTATATAGGATATTTATTTCAAAAAGGGAGAGAGAAAAACATTAATGAGAGAGAATAATTGAGTGGCTGCTTCCTGCATACCCTCCTACTGGGAATCAAACCCACAACCCAGGCATGTGTCTGACCAGGAATCGAACTGTGACCTCTTGGTTCATAGATTGACACTCAACCACTGAGCCACACCAGTTGGGCTATGGTTCATTCTTTGTGTTGTATTCGATACATTATATGGGTTTTGGCAAATGTATGATGACATGCATCTATCGTTACAGTATCATACAGAACAGTGTCACTGCCTTAAATATCCCCTGTGCTCCACATATTCATTCTTCCTTTAGTCCCTGGCAACCACTCATTGTATAATTTTTGCCTTTTCCACAATGTCACATAGTTGGAATTATCGATATATAGTATGTGGCCTTTATAGCTTTATAGATTGGCCTTTAAAAATTTTATTAATTTGAGAGAGAGAAAGAGAAACACCAATTTGTTGTTCCACTTATTTATGCATTTATTGGTTGATTATTTTATGTGTCTTCTACTGGGAATTGAACCTGCAACCCCTGGGACAATAGTCCAACCAACTGAGCTACCTGGCCAGGGCCAGATTGGCTTTTTTCACTTAGCAATATGTATTTAAGCTTCCATCATGTTTTTTATGTGACTTAATAGCTTATTTTTTTTTATTGCCAAGTAATATTCCATCATACTTCTGTTTGTTTATCCATTAGCCTATTGAAGGTCATCTTGGTTGCTTCTAAGTTTTAACAATTATGAATAAAGCTGTTATAAACATTTGTGTTCAGGTTTTTGTGTGGAAATAAGTTTTCAGCTCATTTGGGTAGATACTAAGGAACACAATTTTTGGATCATATGGGAAGAATATGTTTAGTTTTTAAATAAACCACCAAACTGTCTTTCAAAGTGGCTGTACCAGTTTGCACTCCCACCAGCAATGAATGAGAGTTGCTGTTGCTCTCTCATTGTTGCACAATAGATTATTTTGAGTTATCTTTGCCTCACTATGGGACCTTGATATGCAAAGAGGGATCTGCAATTAGTATAGTAGGTTGTGGTTGGCCTGTGTTTAGTCATTCTATACTTAGAATTGACAGCTACCACCATTTCCCATTTAAAATACCTTTCATTTTCTTCTAGTTCTCATCTGGAAAGAAATCTTAGCTTTTGTGAGACTTTTGAATGATAACAGATTGCCCTTAGCACAGTTTTATAATAGGTCCTCATATTCCTTTTTTTCCCCTCTCCCCTTGTTCCTTAAGATTAGGAATGGATATATAGCTTATGGAACCTAGGCGTCAGTTGTTCTTCATTGCTAGTTTCAAACATTATTTGAAAGTGCTTTTCTTTCTGCATCCTTGCCCACTCCTGATATTTTAGACTTTATCTCTTCCATTTCTCCCCACTTCCCATAGGTAAAACTTTCTCTTATTTTCTAACTCAGAGAATTATACTTTGTGTAAAGTAAGTACTTAATTAAACATTTTATTGAAGGAACATTTTCTATTTGATCATTTTAAAGCTTCGATACTAGAAAGGATTCTTTTTTAAAAAAATTTAATTTTTGGGTGACTAAACCTGTTTATCATAGGTAAAAATATAATTAATGTCATCTATCATATAAATATATCTTGAATCTTCATTAAGGACTACTATAACTGATTATAGTGCTTTTGGATGAGAGATGGCTGTAGGGATATAAAGTGGTATTTTGGACCATCCTGGTTATTTAGAGTAAAAATGAGCTCTATGATGTTTGTTTTTATTGGCTTTAGAGAGAGAGGAAGGGAAAGGGAGAGAGAGAAATATCAGTTGGTTGCCTCCTGCATGCCTCCCCTCTGGGGATCATGCCCGAAACCTTGGCATGTGTCCTGACTGGGAATCGAATGGTGACCTCTCAGTGCAGGGGATGATGCCCAACCATCTGAACCTTACCTGCCAGGGCCATTGGTTGATTCTTGTGTGTGCCTTGACTAAGGATTGATCCCACAACCTTGGTGGTATATGGGGATGCAGCTCTAACCAGCTGAGCTACCCGGCCAGAGCTCCATGTGTGTATGTTTTTCCACGATGCTTTTATACGGAATTATACTTTTTGAAACATTTGATGCCAGCCTATCCATTTTTCATATTTGTGGTTGAAGGAATAAACTATCATAATTTCTGTTTTTATAGATTATCTTGATAATGGTAATAATAAAATGGCAATTCAACAAGCAGATAAATTATTGAAGAAACATAAGGATCTTCATTGTGCTAAGGTAAGTTCATTTGCCCTTGAACTTAGATTTGTTGGGTTATATATTGTAATTTTGACTTTAAAGGAGAAAGATGTTTAATTAATCTCTTTAGTAATTTTCAGAGTATTTCTTGATCATTTATTAAAAAAAATTTTTTTATTAAGATATTATATGTGTACATATCTTACCATTGCCCCCCCCCTTTTCTTGATCATTTAAATGCCATGAGTAGCATTGAGTTAGAAACTAGCTATTTAATTCTTTGAGCATAACTTATCTAATTTAATTATTTTATTTTCACAGTCTTTTAAGCAATGTTTTGCATTCTCTTTCTCTCCCTCTCTGTCCCTCTCTCTCTAATCCTCACCTGAGGATATTTTCCCATTGATTTTTTAGAGAGAGTGGAAGAGAGAGGGAAAATAGAGAGAAATATCAATGTGAGAGCGACACATTGATTGGTTGCCCACCCCTACCAAGGCCCGGGCTCAGGAGGAGCCTACAACCCGGGTATGTGCTCTTAACCAGAATCAGGGACCCTTCTGTCCACAGGCCGACGCTCTATCCACTGAGCCAAACTGACTAGGGCTCCTCTCTCTTTTTTAATCTTCCGAGGACATGCTTATTGATTTTTTAGAGAGAGAGGAAGAAAGAGAAACATTGATTCATTGTTCCACCTATTCATGCATTCATTAGTTGCCTCTTGTATTTTCCCCTACCAGGGATTGAGCCCAAAACCTTGGCCTGTTGAAATGACGGTCTATCCAACTGAGCCTCCTGGCCAGGGCTTACATTCTTAATATGGCTGGAATAGAAAAGATTCCTGATCTGTTCAAATTTTTAATAAAATGGTTTAATTGATTAGCAAACTAGGTATATCTTACGACTTATTGTGTGCTTTCAAATTGGCTTTCTATGGTTCCTTTTCAACCTGATTAACCTTTTCTTTCTGCAGGTGTTAAAGGCCATTGGATTACAGAGAACTGGGAAGCAAGAGGAAGCCTTTACCTTGGCACAGGAGGTGGCAGCCCTTGAGCCCACAGATGATAACTCACTGCAGGCACTGACTATTCTTTACCGGGAGATGCATCGTCGTATGTTTCTTTCTTTCCCTTGGTTTTAAACCTGAGCTTAAGTTTTTGGTTATTTCTGGTTGAGTTCTCTATTTGTCTGATTTGCTTATTACTCAGGATTTGAGTGAATGGCAAAGGTAAAATAATGCATTAATCAGGATTTCTGAAGACTGTGGACAGAAAGGATTTCCCCCCCCTGTGTATTAGGATCCTTGAATTGAAATGAGCACTTTAGTGTCATTTGTGGCATTATGATTTGCTAAGTGGGAGAGTTACCCATTTTTCACCTTTTTTTAAATTAAAGTAAATTTTTAAAAAATATTTATTTTTATTTGATTTCAGAGAGGAAGGAGGAGGGAAAGAGAGATAGAAACATCAATGATGAGAAACATCAATGATGAGAGCTGCCTCCTGCCCACCCCACACTAGGGATTGAGTCTGCATCCTGGGCATGTGCCCTGACCCTGACCAGGAATTGAACCATGACCTTCTGGTTCATAGGTTGACACTCATTCACTAACCACACTGACTGGGCTCACTTTTTTTTTTTTTTTTTTTTAATATATATATTTTTTAATTGATTGATTGGTGCTTTTATTTGAAAGGAAGGGAGAGAGAGAGAAACATCCATCTGAGAGTGTAACATCCATTGGCTGCTCCTTCATTCCCCCTGCTGGGGATTGAGCCTGAAATCTGGGCATCCTCCCTGACCGGGAATCTAACTGGCAACCCCATCCCCCACGCACAGGACGAAGCCCTACCAACTGAGCCACATTGCCACTTCCTTTACTTTTTAACAGAGAAAAATTCAAATATAGACAAAAACAGAGAGTAGCATAATAAATCCCATTGTATTCATTACTGAATTTACGTGATCAATTTTGTATATACTCCTCCCCTTGATAAATTATTTCTGATATTCTACATAATCTGCCATTTCATCTGTAAGAATATCTTGAATATTTTATTGTGCAATAATAGTTGTTTTTCTTAATATATATTTTAGAAGCATATATTTGATGTAACACTAGAGTTTGATGTGGAATAATGAACATTCATGAACTTACTGCTCAACATAAGAAACAGTATTATCAGTACTAAGAATACTTACTGTTTATTTTCCAAGAGATACTTGCTGTCCTGAATATTTTTTATTCTTTTTGCTTTTCTTTACATCTTTACCATATTTGTTTTTCTGAATAATGAATAATTAGTTTTGCTCTTAATATAAAAAATAAAATGCTGTTAAGATTTAAGTTATACTTCAGTAATGAAAGAAAATCTTATTGCTCTTTATTTTAGCGGAGTTAGTTACAAAACTTTATGAGGCAGCTGTGAAAAAAGTTCCCAGTAGTGAGGAATATCACTCTCACCTCTTCATGGCCTATGCCAGAGTGGGCGAATACAAGAAAATGCAACAGGTAACTTGATCTCCGAACCTCCTGGGCTGCGGGATTTGCTGTTAAGGGTCAAAGTCTCTTTAATGTGATTTTACTGCAGTGATGTGTGTACATGCACATGTACGCATCTACATATATCTGTAGAACTGAATTATGTTTTTCTGTGTAGAGATCAGCCAATTATTTTCTTTGTGTTTTTTAAAGATAAGCTGTTATTTAAGTTTTAAAAATGTTTCCTTTTTGCCGAGACCGGTTTGGCTCAAAGGTTAGAGCGTCGGCTTGGGAACCGAAGGGACCCGGGTTCGATTCCGGTCAAGGGCATGTACCTTGGTTGCGGGCATATCCCCGGTGGGGGGTGTGCAGGAGGCAGCCGATCGATGACTCTCATCGATGTTTCTAGCTTTCTATCTCTCTCCCTTCCTCTCTGTACAAAATCAATAAAATATATTTAAAAAAAAAATGTTTCCTTTGGGGAAAATTTGGTTGTTCCTCTTTGTGGCCTGATGGTATGTTTTGTCTGGTTCTGGTAAGTTGGCTTCAACTTCCCTTGTAACAGATTGCTGTACAGTTTCAGAAAATGGGCAGAAATCTCAGGGCAAAAAATGAATGATCTTTTCTAAATTAAGTATTTATGGCTCTCTGTCTTTCAGGCTGGCATGACTCTATATAAGATTGTCCCCAAAAACCCTTACTACTTTTGGTCTGTGATGAGCTTAATTATGCAAGTGAGTATGGCATTCTCAATGGGATTGAGATTTGCTTTTATATTTGTATATAGTTATTGTCCTTAAGGTATCTTGTGAACATCTTGGGTCGTCATGTGTTGCAGCATGTCTCAAACAGGGACTTTCCATATTGTCAGTTGACTTTTTGAGTTGGGGAATTTTGGTATTCTTTATGATTTGGTATTTTGGTTTATTTGTGTGTAGCACAGACTGTATTTCCCCTGAATTTTAAATCCATTACTGGGTTATTTGACCAAGTATGAACCTTGAGATGTTAGATATTTTGACCTGAGGTTTGTCTTTAAGACAATATTGTTGGTTAGTGCATAGGTTATTGAACTGGGTGACCTTGTTTTGTCACTTTTGCTTTCTGAGTCTCAGTTTGCTCTTTTACAGAATGGAGATGCTTATCTCCCAGAGCTACTGTAAGGACCGAAATGAGATATGTTGTAGGAGAGGATGGGGAAGTAGGAGTTAAATTGTAGCAGTTAAGAACAGAGAGTCTCTGGGTTTAGACAAGTCTGCATTCAAATATTGGCTTCACTTCATGTCTTGGAGTGCAGTTGGATATCTCAACATCATTTTATCTATAAAATAAGCATAATAGCTACCTGAAAGGTTGTTTACAGGGGATAAATGAGCTATGAGTAGAGCTATGAGCAGTATTAATATCATTCATTGATTTTAATGACCAATCAAAGGTAATTGTGGCTAATAGCAAGCTGTATAAACAATTGGCATTACTCTTCTAATGTATGAACATCTCAAAAAAACATGTGAAAGGCTTTTCAAACACTTGATGATACTCTTTGTATATAATAAACAGTATAGGCATACTCCCTCTTAACATATTTCTAGAAAAATGTGTGAATAATCTATTTAAAAGTTAGGTCATGTTGTGGAAACTCAGCATTTCAAGATTGCATAGGATAATGAGTTTTTAATAAAGAAATCTCTTGTAAAGCAAACCATTTTAGCGTATCTTTTTGGCAGGTTCAAATTAGGCCTGATATTTGACATATAATAGTATAATGATAATTATGTGCTGGAATCATAGTATTGGCCTGCACATATAGTGCAGGCAGGGAGAAATTAGATTGAAACATTTATTATTTTCTCTTCTAGTCTATATCAGCACAGGATGAAAACCTCTCAAAAACGATGTTTCTACCCCTTGCTGAGAGAATGGTAGAAAAAATGGTGAAAGAGGACAAGATAGAAGCGGAGGCTGAAGTGAGTAATTTAAGCCTGACTTTTGTATTTGTATGATTTTGATATTGCTTCAATAAATATTATAATATTAAGGACTGTTGTTTAGAGAGCGGGGTCTTCACTTTTGCCCTTTGTGTAATTGTGAAACTTTGGAAACCCTATCTTAGACATAATTAACAGAGCTGTTTCAGCAAGTACTCTAGTCTCAGATGTATATAGCTAGGGAAGACTCTGTTGCCTGATTCTTTTTTTTTTTTTTTTTTAATTATTGATTTCTTACAGAGAGGAAGGGAGAGAGATAGAGAGTTAGAAACGTCGATGAGAGAGAAACATCAACCAGCTGCCTCCTGCACACCCCCCACCGGGGATGTGCCCGCAACCGATACATGCCCTTAACCGGAATCGAACCTGGGACCCTTCAGTCCGCAGACCGAGGCTCTACCACTGAGCCAAACCGGTTTCGGCTGTTGCCTGATTCTTACTGTTGGTTTAATCTCATTTGAGAATGGTGTTCTTTTCTATTAGATAACTTTTTAAAAATGTACAAATGACTATTTTTTCATTTTTAATTACAGTTGAGATTCAACATTTTATATTAGTTGCAGGTGTACTGCATAGTGGTTAGACATTTATGTAATTTATGAAGTTATCCCTCCCGATAAGTCTAATATCCATCTGGCACAGTACATAGTTATTACAGTATTAGTGACTGTATTCCCTGTGCTATACTGTCTTTTTATTATTGGAAAGTTTCAGTGATTGCCCTTGTTTTTCCCCCTGTAAGGTTGAACTTTATTATATGATCCTGGAGCGTTTGGGAAAGTACCAGGAAGCCTTAGATGTCATCAGAGGAAAATTAGGAGGTAATTTTGAAAGTTTTAAAGTATTTTTTTCCTGTTTAAACATGATAAGTGTTTATTGTGGAAAATTTCTTCTCATACAGAAACAGAAAGATATAAAGACACAAAAAAGTCACTTGTGATCATTTTATGTTCTTCCAGACTTTTCTGTGTTGTACATTTATTTTTTAAAAATATTTTAATTGAATTTATTGGGGTGACATTGGTTAATAAAATATTTAGATTTCAGGCGTATAGTTTTATAATACATCGTATCTATTTTGGACTGTGTGTTCACCACCCCAAGTCAAGTCTCCTTTCATCTCCATCTATCCATCTTTTATCCTCTTCTACCTTCTCCCACGCTCCTTTTCCTCTGGTAATCACCATACTGTTGTCTGTGTCTGAGTGTTTTTATTTGTTTTAAAAAAGCCATGTGAGAGAGAAACACTTTGGGGAATGAATCGGCAACCCAGGTATGTGTCCTGACCAGAAGTTGGATCTTTTCATTTACAGGACAATACTCCAACCTACTGAACCACCTGGTCAGGGAGTGACAAAGATTTTTGGTTCCTATTTAAACATGTGTGATGATTTCCTTAGGAGAAATTATTGGAAATGCAGTTATTGTCTCAGTAAACCTGGCTGGGGTTTTTTTGTTTGTTTGCTCTAAAACATATTTTTATTGATTTCAGAGAGGGAAGGGAACACCCCCTACTGGGGATCGAGCCTGTAATCTGGGCATGTGCCCTGACGGGGAATTGAACCCTGACCTAGTTCATAGGTTGTCGCACAACCACTGACCCACACCGGCAAAGCTAACCCTGTTTTTGTTTTTAAAAAAAATATATTATATTGATTTTTTATAGAGAGGAAGGGAGAGGGAAAGAGAGCTAGAAACATCGACCAGCCACCTCCTGCACACGTCCCACTGGGGATGTGCCCACAACCAATGCACATGCCCTTGACCAGAATCGAGCCTGGGACCCCTCAGCCCACAGCCCGATGCTCTATCCACTAAGCCAAACCGGTTTCGGCTATACCTGGTTTTTTTTTTAGTGTTTTTAGAGTCTTTGAGATTAACTAAACTATAGATGAATATTTTCAGTTCTCTCATTTGATAGTCATTTAAAAAAACTTTGTTTCATACAAATATGTAATATATATCTTTTATTAGACTGCAGTCATAAAACTGTTACACTAAATGATAGTTAACTACTTCAGTTATATAAAATGTAGCAGGAGTTTGTGTGTGTGTGTGTGTGTGTGTGTGTGTGTGTGTATGTGTGTGTAAGTAACATTACTTACTCTTAACTTCAGCCTCCTTGCAGATGGGTACAAGCCAGCCTTTTTGTTTCTACTTATCTAGATTGTATTTCTGCGTGTAGTTTAAATTTAGATTCTCTATAGGAAATTCACAATAATTGTCAGTGTCCTTAATCTGCTCTCCTGTTAGAAAGGACAGGGCAAATGTAATTTGGTCAGAAATATAGTTGTAGTTTTCCTCCTCTCAGCTACTGGGAGTTTGATTCATCTCTATTCATTTTTTATCTTTCTCCTACGTCTCTGTCACCTTGCTCATCCCATTCCAGTTTAAGCTTATTCACTGTTTTGGAACTGTATGGATGGGATATCGATGACTGTGGACTAACTATACCAGTCGCTAGATTCCATTGGGAATCTATGTGAATCCCACATGCTAGAGCCTCAACTCAATACATTCTGGATCCTTGTCTTTTATGATTTATTTGTTTATCTTTTTGGATCCTTGTCTTTTACAGAAAACAATATTGTAAAAGTTTACTATCAGAAATGTACTTTCTTTCCTCTTCAGTAAAATATTTTTTAATAAGATAATAGTTTGTATCTAATGGTGCCTCTGTTTTCTGAGAGAGGAAAATGTGTTATTTTCCTTTTTGTGTTTGGACTTTATTTTGGTTTCTGAACAGAAATGAAACTAGCTTAGCAAGTATTTTAACTTTTATTTGTAGAGAAGTTGACTAGTGAGATTCAGAGTCGGGAAAATAAATGCATGGCTATGTACAAGAAGCTGAGCAGGTGGCCAGAGTGCAATGCCCTTTCCCGGCGCCTCTTATTGAAAAAGTGAGTAGATGCTTCTTTTTGCACTATATGACTAGAATGGGGTTTTTAGGTGGCATTATCGATGTGCTTTGTCTGTTATGTCTTTTGAAATTTTGGGGCATAAAGTATGTCCTGAAAACTTTAAAATTAAAAAAAAAAGTTTTTGATGAACCATTATCTTTCAGTAAAGAGTTATTAGGTCTTTAAAATGAACACTGCAAATCATTTATCAAATTTAATATTCAGTATTAATCTAACCTTCCCTTCCCCCCCATTTAGGAAGTGCTAATGTGGGGAGTTTTCTGTTAAGAATATTAATTTTGTAGATCTGGTCATTTTTAAAAAAATATATATTTTATTGATTTTTTACAGAGAGGAAGGGAGAGAGATAGAGAGCTAGAAACGTCGATGAGAGAGAAACATCGACCAGCTGCCTCCTGCACACACCCTACCGGGGATGTGCCTGCAACCAATGTACATGCCCTTGACCGGAATCGAACCTGGGACCTTTGAGTCCGCAGACCGACGCTTTACCACTGAGCCAAACCGGCTTCGGCTAGATCTGGTCATTTTATTGAAGGAAAGGGTAGTATCTGAAAAGTTTTTTTACTTTTTTTTTTAATGCATCCATTTTATTTATTTTAAAATATATTTTATTGATTTTTTTACAGAGGGAAAGAGAGAGGGAGAGAGAGTTAAAAACATTGACGAGAGAGAAATATCAATCCGCTGCCTCCTGCACATCCCCTACTGGGGATGTGCCCGCAACCAAGGTTTATGCCCTTGATCGAAATCAAACCTGGGACCCTTGAGTCCACAGGCCAACGCTCTATCCACTGAGCCAAACCGGTTAGGGAAAGTTGTTTTACTTTTAAAATGCTTCTGGAATGCTGTGATTTTGGGGCTGAGGAGGAAACCCAGAGGGAAGGGTGGGCTTCTAGTAAGGACTAAAATATAACTTAGAAATAAGTTGAATATCATTGTACCTACCTAAGGCAGATTTGTTAAAACTAGTGTTTAATCCTGTGTGTACCATTCAATCTGATTTTTAGCTCAGATGACTGGCAGTTCTATCTGACTTATTTCGATTCTGTCTTTCGACTGATTGAAGAGTCCTGGACTCCTCCTGCTGAAGGTGAACAGTAAGTTGTCTTCTTCTTGAATTACAGTGGCACTGTTTTTGTTGTTGTTGCTTTGTTTTACTATTTTTTGCTTTTATTTTACAATAGCACTTTTAAGTATATTGTAGCAAAAAAATTTCATTGTAAGCCTAATTGAATTCTCTTTTCCTGTCAATAATTTTATCACTTGCAAAGTAGGACTTTTTTCTCCATTTTTAAAAATTATAAAGTAAAAAAATGTTTAAAAAAATATTTGTATTGATTTCAGAGAGGGCAGGAGAGGGAGAGAGAGCTAGAAACATCAATGATGAGAGAGAATCATTGATCGGCTGCCTCCTGCACATCCTTACTGGGGATTGAGCTCACAACCTGGGCATATGCCCTTTTCCAGAATTGAACCTGGGACCCTTCAGTCCACAGGCATAGGCTCTATCCACTGAGCCAAAGCAGCTAGAGCTAAAGTAAAACTTATTGCAAAAATTATCTTTTTTTTTTTTTTAAAGAGGTACATTTGGTTAATCACTCAGTAGTAATCAAATGCCACAATTGGGAGTAATAATATGCCATGTTATCTGCTAGAATATCCTTACAGCTCTTTTATTCTATTTGTAGCCTATCTAATAAAAGTATAATATGCATATTGTCCCCTCAACCCAGAATTTGACCCAAGTTTAACCAAGGGGTGGGGGCCGGCCTGCCAACCACCTGGGGCCCCTTCCCCTGGTCGGCCCTGCCTCTGATTGGCCCTCTGGTCAGCCCCCCAACCTTTGTTCGGGGGTGGGTCGGCCAGCCAATCTCCCATATCCTCTCTCCCAAGCCAGCCCACCCCATCAGCCCCGATTGGGGCGGGGTGGCCAGACCCCACCCATGCACAAATTCATGCACTGGGCCTCAAGTAGTTTTATAATTATCAAAATGCTTTATTATATTTTTTATATGTTTCTTCAAATCAATGTGGTTTTAACTTTTGGAATGGACAAATAGAGGCACAAAAATACCTTTTTTGTGTGTTTACACCCAGCTCTTTAGAAGGAGAAGTACATTATTCTGCTGAAGAAGCTGTGAAGTTTATAGAAGATCGGATAACAGAAGAATCTAAAAGTTCTCGCCATCTTCGAGGACCACATCTAGCTAAACTGGAGCTGATTAGACGTTTACGACATCAAGGTTTTAATGATGAGTACAAACTGGGTAAGAAACTGTAGTGATATTTGGGAACCCTGGAGAAGGTGCAGGGAAGCCCTTAATACCTAAGTGCAGTATTCATTTATCTGAAGCCTACAATAACTGAGTCATGTGTAGGAAGCAAATGTCTCCATGACCTGAAAATATTTACTAATGAATGGATCATTTATAAAATTAGCTCTCAATTTCTCCCTTACCTATCAGAGGCTTTGTCAGACATTTTCTTTTTTTTTTTTTTTTTTTTTTGCTGATTAATAATATAAAAATCAATTTCAAAGTAAAATAGCCAGTTTCATAAAAGTTTCAGAATTTCTTGAAGAATCTGAAAGCTTTATTGAAAGTCTCCCAGCTCTTACATTGATGAATGACTGTCTAGCAGAGTTATGGCAATTAATGAAGATAAAGTTTATAAGAATAATGACATGTGGGAGAAAATAACTGTTTGGATAGTGAAGCATTAGGATAGGCCTTCAGGAACTTTGATGAAGCATTTAGATGTTTTTACAAAATGAAAGTTTTAGCTTATTGCACAAGAAGTGAAAGGTGTTGTATTGTGTTAGTTTATAGTTTTGTTGGAAAAATGGCATTCCTTCTCCCCCTAAACAGTAATTCTTTGTTAATACCAAGGGTTAACTTATAATAATAATGCCCTAAGTTTTGTTATGTTTAATAACATAATAAAATAATAAACTTTAAATTTTTTTCTATTTTATTTTTTAAGATAAAGCTCCAAAGAAATCTTTTTCCTCCATTTATTGTTATGAAAATTTTGTTCTCAGTGGAAATTTATAAAGTTTAAGAGGGATTTTTTTAAGGGACCAGTTGTCTTGGGATGATGAGCATTTCTAATATCTTTGTCCTAAAATATCTTTGTTAATTTTAATCATCTAATTAATGTTCTTTGTAGCTCCTTCTAAAATGAACTGTGAAATTCTCTCTGTCATTCCCTATGTAGATTACTCACAATCCATTTTGAATTCTATGTTAACCTCTTTCTTGGGTCTCCCTCAATAATCTGTGTATGTTAGTTCCAGAATTGCAAATGAAAATTTTTGCATGACCCTGTAGTAAAATATTATTAAAATAGATTCCAGATTACTGTTTTTTCTACAAAGCTGGATATAATAGTCTTTGGCTCTGCTTTGACACTTAATATATTTATCTTCTATCTTTCTCTTCCTTATTGTCAGCCCGCATCTTATAAATTAGTGAATTTGTCTAGTGTCCACAATTAAAAAAAACTTTTTTTTACCTGACTGGTGAGTGATTTTCAGTCTCTTTGGGATCACAGAGTCCTGTGAAAATCTGGTTAGAGGGAGCTCTGTTCCCAGAGACATGTGAATAGGAACTGGGACCTAAAATCTTAGAGAACTCCATGGTTAGAATCTCCACTTCTTAAATCTAGTTCAATTAGAGAACATTTTATTTTTATTATTATTATTTTTTGTTTTGTTTTTAATTTGAGGAAAAAATAAAATGAACTGGTAGCTTTCTGCATTTCCAGGTTTAAAATTTTAATAGTGGGTGATCTTGCTGGAGTTATTGGCCTGTGGTTCTTCCCACTTATTTTCTCTTCTGTTGGTGTGGCTATTAACCAACATTACCTTTCATTTAATTAACATTTATGTGATACTTCTGCAGTAGTTCAGGAACTGTTGTAGAGAGAAGCATGTTTGTTTAATGTTTGCATGTAAACATAGCTCTTTAAACTTTAATGAAAACTTTTTAACTGTTTAAATTTTAATTGAATGAAAAGCTTCACATTTCCTAAGTGTATTAATAGGTAAACTGAATGTAAGATTCTACTCTGTTTAAAAGTATTTTTATTTTTAACTACTCAAGCCACCTTCCAGCCCTCATTGTTAATCTCATTCACACTTATTCAAGCATTCAAACAAAATTTTAATCTAATGAAATAAAGATTTTTTTAAAATCAGACCTTTGCTTAAATTAGAAATTGCTTCAGTCCATGAATAATTTAATGGTTTTTATTTTTCTCTCTTAGGTGACCCAGAAGAATTAATGTTTCAGTATTTTAAGAAGTTTGGAGATAAACCTTGCTGTTTTACAGACCTCAAGGTGTTTGTTGATCTCTTGCCTGCTGCACAGTGTACAAAAGTAAGTACTATTTGGAATCCTGTTGGGTGCCTGTATTTGTTGTAACTAGGTTAAGTGTTTGGGCTTCCTTTCTAAAATGTGAGAGAGTAGTGAACATGAGATATCAAGATAACTGCCCTATCAAGCCAAGTACTCTAGGGGCTATCAGATTAAAGGCATGATTTCTTGTTAAGTTAAGCCACAATGAGAAAAAGCCCTTTGTAGGTAGATTCTCCTTTTTTGTTTTTATGTGTGTGTTTTTGAGATGATTGTAAATTTATATGCAGTTAAAAGAGAAATAATGTAGAAAACACTGTATACCCATCACTCATTTTGCTCTAATGCTAAGATAGTGCATAATTATAGCATAATTAGAAATTGATATTGATAAAATCCACTGACATTCGAATTTTCCAAGTTTTGTATGCATTCATTTGTGAGTGTGGTGTTTTTTTTGTTTGTTTATTTTTATTGATTTCAGAGAGGAAGGATACATGTGGATTATGTGATCACCACCACCACCAAGATACAGACCAGTTCACTACTAGGATCCCATGTGCTACTCTTTTTTACCCCCAGACACCTCCCTGAATCTCCCCTTTTCCTCACCCCTACCCTCTGGCAACAACTAATGTTTTCTATTTCTACAATTTTATCATTTTAACCATTTTATATAATGGAATCATATTATGTATAACCTTTTGAGATTGGCTTTTTTCATTCAGCATAATGCCCTGGAGATTCATGCATTTGTTAAATGTATCAGTAATTCATTTCTTTTTATTGCAGAATAGTATTCTTACTTACTTACTTTCTCATATTTGAAAGCTCTCTTGTAGGAAAGGGATGAGAACCAGGACCAAACCTCTCTCTTCCACTCAACCAGCAAATTGTTACAGGGAATTGAGAATTTAGTGAGAAAAAGATCTTGTTAGTGGCCAGAATTCTTTAAAATTAGTGTTTGAGTTTCACGTTACTGAAGGGATTTAAGCAGACTATGGAACCATGTGGGAGAGATTCATTCAGTGTTTGTAGCACTTAACTATGTGCTGAGGGTTAAGCTAGGGAATAACTGATCAAATCTTCTAGTGCTTGCCATCTTGTAAGTTGAAGCATCAAATGATGGGAATGCATTAGAGGAACACTTATATTGTCATCAACTGAGATTCATAAAGGTATGGCAGTATGAATCTGGTACCAGCCCCTCTGCTTTGCTGGTATGTTTGAAAACCCTGGGTGATCTCACGGGATCCCATCATAGTGATGTAGTGAGAGGAACCCTCTAGGAATGCTAGAATACAAGCAATGATGAGGTAGTCATTGTTCTGTGACACAAAGGATTTAAAGCTGCTGCAATGAGTTGTGTAGTTCTATGTAAATTTTTCATTGAGAGGGTAATTTGCTGCCACAACCTTTTAAATGTGGGATTCTGCTGCTCAGCAGTTTGTAAGAGGATTGCAAACTGCCCAATAAGGTTCAAACTGGGAACTGTTGTCCCAGTGAATTAGGAGACAAATTCTTTTAAAATGGGACTAACCTCTAATTGAGGAAAATAAAATAGCATAGAGTCAAAGTGGTTAGAATGTCTAATATATTTCATTATTTTATTTATTGCTCATAATTATAGTCACATACATAATCTATATATACTAGAGGCCTGGTGCACAAAATTCTTAAACTGGGTGGAGGGGGGGCGTCCTTTAGCCCGGCCTGCACCCTCTTGCAGTCTGGGATCCCTAGGGGGATAACTGCCAGTGGGGAGTGGGCCTAAGCTGGCAGTTAGCCATCCTTGGCTCTGCCATAGAGGTGGGAGAGCTCTGCTGCTGTGCTCGTCAGCTGTGAGCCTGGCTTCTGGCTGAGCGGTACTCCCCTTGTGGGAGCGCACTGACCACCAGGGTGCAGCTCCTGCGTTGAGCATCTATCCCCTGGTGATCAGTGCATGTCATAGTGACCAGTCGTTTTGCATATTAGCCATTTATTATATAGGATAAAAACCAAGTGACGAACATTGGAATGACCAGAATGACTGGAACGACCAGTTACTATGATGTGCACTGCAGTGGCCAACGACCTGATTGGGGCCCTCCTCCCCTCAACCTCTCGTGACCCCTCTCCCCAGCCAGCCTCATTCCCCAATCACACCCCCCCCCCCATTGGAGGTGGGGCTGGCCAATCTCCCATGTCTCCTTCCTGCTGCCCGGCTCAGTGAACCCCCATCATGGCAGCTGGCTGGACCCCACCCGCGCATGAATTCGTGCACCGGGCCTCTAATCTGTATATAGCTTTATAGGTGTGGGGTGCACCTTATATTTAAATATATAATCATTTAGATACCTGATAAAATTAAACATCGACTTTAACTTTAAAATATAATTAACACTATCAAAATATCAAATAAAACAATGTATATTTTATTTCATTACTTTATGATGGTTTGGTGAATAAAAATGGTATAGTAGAGGGGTTTTAATTTTTATTTTTTCTTGATTGTTGTCTTTTTCTAGACCATTTCAATATTTTTTAATTATGGCCTACTGAAAACGAGATCTGTTTTGAGACCTGTCCTCTTTTTCCCCCACTCTGCAGTTTATTAATCAGTTACTTGGAATTGTTCCTTTGTCGACACCAACAGAGGATAAGCTGGCACTGCCTGCTGACACCAGAGCTCTACAGCAGCATTTGTGTGTGGTGCAGCTGACGCGGTTACTAGGCTTGTACCACACGATGGATAAAAATCAGAAATTAAGTGTGGTCAGAGAACTGATGTTAAGATACCAGCATGGACTGGAATTTGGTGAGCAACCTTTCAAAATGTGCTGTTATTCTCTGATAAACTAAGACTTAGAAGTTAGTTTTGTTTTGAATCATTCAATCCTGTTTTAATGAGATTGGCAAAGAGAATATTTTGTCAAGTGGCAAGACTACCCAAGTAACAAAATGCAAAGCCTTTCTAAAGCTTGGAACTTTATTATTATTATTTTCTTCCACATTTTATTTCTTAAAAATTTAAGTATAGTCGGCACAGAGTGTTAAATAAGCTTGGAGTTTTAACTAATTATATTGTCCATATTCTTCCCGATATGATGAGCTCATATGAATTGCATAGTTTATGATAATTGTCACATTTTCTGCTTATATTCCTACGCAAGTGAACAAAAAGAATGTTGTAAATTGTGAGGTATTTAGAAGTAGAAGATCTTCAGATTGCTAGGTGTGATAAAATATCTGATTAGATGATACCAGTATTTCTTTAAGAGCATTCTAGAAATTTAGGTGAAGTAATGAGCAGAACATTACTTTAGTTATACATGGCCTTGGCTTCTGTGCTTCACCTAAAGCCTTTCAAATCTTGTTGCTTTCGCTGTTGGACCATTTTAGATTCCACCTCTGTTCTGGAACCCTTCTGCTCCAGCTGAGTCTAGGCTCACCATTTGAATCCTTTAGTTCATGGCTTATATTTACCATTCTTCTTATTTTCTTTCCCCCCTCTTCTTTCCTTCTCACTGTACCTGATCTATAAAACTTCTTTGGAGCAGTAATAGTTAAATAAATGTTAAATACAGATGATTTTCCCCCCCTGCAGGGAAATCCTGTTTGAAAACCGAATTGCAGTTTTCAGACTATTACTGTCTCCTTGCTGTCCATGTGCTTATTGATATATGGAGAGAAACAGGTAAGGAGCAATCGTTTCAGTTTGATATTACTCTTTTTTTTTTAATTGACTATAATTTCATGGACTAATTACATAATTTAAGAATTTGATTTATGCTTTTAGATTTTTCTTCCTTGTCATTCTCTAGGGTAAGTCTTCATGTATCCCTCTCCCTGCAATCAGGAAAATCTTAAATTAGTGGATATCTATTCTTTTTAAAAATATTTATGAATAGTAATGACTGTAGAGAACCTATTACAATGCCACAACAACTAAAATATAGAGAAACTGATTCAGAGATGGATGTATAGGCCCATGGAATGGAATAGCCCCTTTACTCACTTAAAAAAATTATATATAGCAAAATTATCAGTTTCTTTCCGTGTTTGTTTTTATACTCTATCTAATTCTAATAAAAAATTATGACCTTTTTTCCTTATAAAAAAAATTACAGGAAAATGCACTCTTTTGGAATACAGTTCTGATTAGCCCATTTAAGACAAAAATATAATACATGGTAAAGTATGATTCTGCAAATGGCATTGAGACTGCCTTTTCTTTTTTAAAAAATAGATATTTTCATTGATTTCAGAGAGGAAAGGAAAGAGAAAAAGAAACATCAATGATGAGAGAAAATAATTGATCGGCTGCCTCCTGCACCCCTACTGGTGATTGAGCTTGCAACCTGTGCATGTGCCCTTGACCAGAATGGAACCAGGGACCCTTCCATCCGCAAGCCAACACTCTTATCCACTGAGCCAAACTAGCTAGGACTGAGATTGCCTTTTCTTTAGATTGCATCCCCCTAACATTTTCTCATATTAGCAGGATTTTTAAAAAATATATATCTTTTATTGATTTCCGAGAGGAAGGGAGAAGAAAGAGAGAGAGATAGAAACATCAAAGATGAGAGAATCACTGATTGGCTGCCTCATGCATGTCCCCTACTGGGGATCGAGTCCTCAACCTGGGCATGTGCCCTTGACTGGAACCGAACCTGGGGCCCTTCAGTCTGCACACTGATGTTCTGTCCCCGAAGCCTGTGGTCGGCAAACTGCAGCTCTCGAGCCACATGTGGCTCATTGGCCCCTTGCGTGTGGCTTTTGCACAAAATACCACTACCTGGGCAACTCTGTTTTGAAGAAGTGGCGTTAGAAGTTTTAAGTTTTAAGAAATGTGTCTCAAAAGAAATTTCAATCATACTGTTGATATTTGGCTCTGTTGACTAATGAGTTTTCCGACCACTGCCCTAAGCCAAACTGGCTAGGACTCTTACTAGTAGTTTTTAGAGGAAAAAATAACTTTAGATACTTACTGCATGTTATTCATAGAATAAACTATAGAAGAAACAAAGGACTGGAGAGGGAGTGCAAGATAGATACAACCCCTGTCCTCATGGATCATTTCACAAAGTACTCAGTTTTGATATTATTATCGTCATGCTTGAAATTCTCCAGAGGTGCTCTATTTTGCTGAGGATAAAGGCCAACCTTTTCAGGGTAATTTATAGTGCCTTTTTAAAATCCAGCTTCTGTCTGCATCCCCAGATTTCTATGTATGTACAGTCCTGAATGTACTCTTTTTTTTTTTTTTTTTTTTTTTTTCCTATCACTGAAACCCAGACAAGTGCTCTTGACTGGAATCAAATCTGGGGTCCTTCAGTCCACAGACCAACACTCTATCCACTGAGCCAAACCAGCAAGGGCTCAACTCTCTTTTTTATTCAGTTCTGAGCCTCTTGAGGCTAGGAGCCACCCATGACTTTTATCTTCAGGTCGGATATCTAGTGTTGCTCAAATGTAGGCAACATGAGAAAACACAAATAAAAGAGCAGAATGCAAAATTGGATATATGCTATGACTACTACTGTGTAAAGTAATTATAGTTCAGAAGCATTATATTAAAATCCTAATGGTAGTTTAACTAGATTATGTGTAGTTCACATAGTTTGGGTAAGATTATAGATATTTATCTAGAACTTCAATTTTTTATTAACTTGTTTCTTTTTCCTTGACAAAAAAGCATATACAGTATAATTTTAAAAGCTTAATAGTTTTACTTTAGCTGTTTTGTTTTTTTGTTTGTTTGTTTGTTTTTTTCCTGATTATAAAAATAGCATAAAAAGATTTTGGAAAGCAATTTATTTTAATTTCACTTTTCCTGCTCCCACAGGCAGTCTAAGATTTTGCACATTTCCTTTTCCTTCCTCTGCATATTTTTTAGACTGAAGATGAACTCTTCATGCTAATTTGAATTTTCTGTGTGTGTTTTACTGATAATTATTATAAAAGTATTTACCCTTGTTATTAAAAACTCTGTGTTAACATCAGATGGCTGTATGATGTTTCCATGGGTGGGTGTTACTATAATTTATTCAATCACCCCCATTTATTAGTACAATGAATATTTTTGTAAATAAAGCTTAATCTGCATTTCATGTTATTTCTTTAGATTCTTTTACAAATATATATATTTTTATTGATTTCAGAGTGAAAAAGAGAGGGAGAGAAAAATAGAAACATCAATGATGAGAGAGAATCATTGATTGGCCGGCCACCTCATGTACCCAATACTGGGGATGGAGTCTGCAACCTGGGCATGTGCCCTGACTGGGAAACGAACTGTGACCTCTTAGTTCATAGTTGGATGCTCAATTGCTGAGTCATGAAGGCTGGGCTAGGTAGATTTTTTTAAAATTTATTTTTAAAAGGATTCCTCTGCTTTTTAAAAAATATATTTTTATTGATTTCAGAGAGGAAGAGAGAGGGAAAGAGAGATAGAAACATCAATGATAAGAGAGAATCATTGAACAGCTGTCTCCTGCACGGCCCTTACTCGGGATTGAGCCAGCAACCTGGGCATATACCCTTGACTGGAACTGAACCTAGGACCCTTCAGTCCGCAGGCTGACACTCTTACTCATTGAGCCAAATCGGCGCTAAATTCTTAAAAGAGAATTTACTTAATCTTTAATACTATAGTTACATGTGAATTGAGTTTTGGTGGCTCAAAATGTGTATCATTTTATTTTGATAATGAATGAACAATTTTTTTCAAATATTATTTGATATCCTATTGGTAGAGTTATATATACAAAAAAAAAAAAAAAAAATGACGTTTAGAGAAAGCATCTGGGTCTTGTAGGAAAATCCTGAAGTGGAAAGATTGGTGACACCAGTTCTCCTTCAAAGTTCATCTCTTCTTGGAATCTAGGACTCTGAGATTCCATAACTTTCCTCTATAAGACCTGGCAGCTTAAAGTTTTGGGTCAATTTTATAGATGCATATTTAAGAATTGAGGTAACTATTTAGGTAACAACCTGTTTTGCTTACAGGTATGTATCTAAAATGTATTCTCTGTCATCTAAACTCATTCTTAGAATAATTAGAGGATGTGATGTAAGTTTTTGTTTTTGAGAGCCCTATATTTGCTGTCAGGAGCTGTGGGTAATGCTATTATATTTTGGTTCTAGGTGACGAGACTGCTGTGTGGCAGGCCCTGACTTTGCTGGAAGAGGGATTAATCCATAGCCCTTCCAATGCTCAATTCAAATTGCTGCTTGTTCGAATCTACTGTATGCTGGGAGCATTTGAACCTGTGTTGGATCTGTACTCCAGCCTTGATGCTAAGCATATCCAGCATGACACCATTGGGTTGGTAGTATATACTCTGAATAATGAGCAGTCAGCTACAACAGTGTGGGGCTCTGATACATGAAAATTGAACATTTTGATTTTAGCAGTAAAGTTGTTCCTAGTATTAAGCTTTTTAGATGAAATAATCATGTATTATGACCCATTGAAAGAATTTATATTTGCCAGCATTTTGTAATAATGTTAAAAATTGCAGTTTAGAAATGGTAAGAAAGTTTTCCTCAGAGACAATGAATGACTATATACTTCGAACCCTTTTTTTAGCATATGTGGTTTTGTGTGTGTGTGTGTGTGTTTTTTAGAAAAATATTTTATTTATTTTTTACAGAGAGAGGGATAGAGAGCTAGAAACATCGATGAGAGAGAAACATCGACCAGCTGCCTCCTGCACACCCCCTACTGGGGATGTGCCCGCAACAAATGTACATGCCCTTGACTGGAATCGAACCTGGAACCTTTCAGTCCGCAGGCCGACGCTCTATCCACTGAGCCAAACCGGTTTCGGCAGCATACGTGGTTTTGAAATCTTTACTTTTGGCTTGGACTTGAGGTTGACACCTGTACTTCATTTGTTGTTCTCAGAGATTCTTTGAATTTGCGTTGGAACTATTCTTTGTGATGAATTGGGATATTTTCTCTATTCCCTGTAGACCTGTTTTAGGAAGACAGCATTCTGTTCTTTCATAATCTGTGCTCCATTGATTATCTGAGTATAAGAAAGCATGGCATTGATCTTATAGCTTCACCAAAACTGAATTAACTTCATTCTTTTTTAAAAATTTGATTTGGTAAATTAGATTTCTGTTGCAAGATGTTTTAAATTTTCCATATACTTACTATTTCTCTGTCAAAATAATTTGAAGTATAGTATATAATATTATAGGTGGGTAAGTATAACATATTTTTTTTCTCTTTGCTTCCGATCTAGTTATCTTTTGACCCGATACGCTGAATCCCTAGGTCTGTATGCTGCTGCATCCCAATCCTGTAACTTCGCACTCAGGTTTTTCCACTCCAACCAGAAAGATGTAAGTGAAAAAAAAAGTTTATTTTATTTTATTTTATTGTCTTGCCTGCTGAATGCACATGAGAGCATCTTCGCCATGCCATAGTACCTTACACTTGTTAGGGTGTACCTTGCTGTATTTGCAAGTGCCTGTATGACATAGCTTGCTGGCCAAGGCTGAACAGGCTTGTTTAATAGGATCCATACAAAGGTGTTAAAACTGGGTATTAAAAGAATAGGAAGTTTTATGCTCATATGTCGGTCTTTTAATCTCTTAGAGATTTTTTCCAAGGGTATGAGATACTGTGTAAGATTCTGCGATAGCAGCTGTGCTCTGTTACCTTGATTTATTCCTGAAGTCTATAACCACTGTGCTCTTTGTCAACAGCAAATGCACTTACGTTTTCTTAGAATGATAAAATTGACCAATTGTAGGTCATTTCATCAATGAATAAGATAGAGCTTTTATGTGCCATAATGAAAGGATGGGATTTGCACCATATTTTTCATTGCAAGCAGACTTGGTCTCCACTTGTCAGTTAAGCAGTTGTTTTTGTGGAAAAGCCATGTAATGGTCTCTACTCAGTTGACCAACTATGCAAAACTACCCAGGAACATGTGTGAAGATAAGGCATGTCTTCTAGGATGGTCACTGCCAACTTGGTTCTCATGTGCTTCCAAGACTCATCGCCTGGAATTGGGCCATTCCAGATATCTGCCCATATCAGTCCAATTTCTTCTCTAATAACAATCAAGAAACTGGGCCAGGAAGCTGGTTTCTGGGGTTCTTCATGACAAACACTCATGAGGATTTAAAAAAAAATGTTTTGTAACTATAACAGCTTTGGCTAATCTATCTGCTAGAGCCAAGGCAGGGCAGAAGCATTTCTCAACACTAAAATATAGAGCTTGTAATAATTATGCCTGGACAAGTTTCAGGGCATGGCCTCAAGGACTGGTGTTCTTCATTTATTAGCTTTTGAGCTCTATTTTCCTCCCCTTTGACCTCTCCCCCCCAAAGTGGTTGGTATCTGTTCAGATTCCATTTTGTGCCATAGCTCCTACCAGGGAGAGAGGGAAGTAGGCATCAGCATTTGAACATATTGATCAGAAGGTGCTGGCCTGGCTTAGAGGTCAGGGAGTCTCTCTTGGACCTTGGATTTCTAAAATTCCTGAGCACAAGTAGGCAGTTATAAATCTCTTGAGTTTTCACTGGGCATTCAATTATTTATGCTTTGCCTTCTGTTTTCAAGGAGTTTTGCTATCACTAAAGAAAAAACTGTTACTTAAATCTCATTCTAGCTCTCATTTTCATATTTTAAGGAAGAGGTTAGTTAAACATTTGATTTCCTGAAGAATTCTTTTCAAAGTTTTGTTTCTCAGATAGATTTGAAGTGGGAGTTTGGATAAATAAGGCGTTAATTCAAGCCTGGTGGCTGGTTTTACTTGTTTCCAGTCATTTAACATTCTTAAAGAGTCATGTTGTTCATGGCTTGGCCAACAAAGGTACATTATTTAAACTATAGTTAAGCATTAAGTATTCCCCCACAAAAATTGTGTCTGAAGAGTTGTTTTGAACACACAGAGAAAGGAGATCCCCAGGAGCGATTAGAGGGGACATGTCCTCAGTGGCTTTTTGTATCTTTGGTGGTTTGCTGATGGCTGTCTATGTCAGGAATGACAATTCATCTCAATGCTTGTGATAAAATTATAGTGTTTTATCGATCTGGAACTAGGATGTTCTACTTGACACATTTGTTTTTATTACTACTAACTGGGAAGACAGAAATTACTTAATCATTAGATAATCTTTGGGGATTCTGGAGACAAAAGCAAACACAATATAGCAAGGAAAACACACCTTAAGCCTTAGTGCTTAGCTCCAGTCCCAAAATATGAAAATGGAGACTGGTGTGGATGTTTCTTGTAGGAATTTGAGGCTGAGAAAGATCATGGTTGTAGTGTTGGTACTATATGTGTTAAATCTTCTGGTGTAGTATTAGAAATACCTCTCTGGAAACAAAAACTCTACACTCTATATCTTTTATTCTTGGTAGTTTTTAGTGTCTCCATTTGGTGTTTCCTTGAGTGCCTGATGTATTTCAATTCCTAACTAGCTCTTTGAAAAAATACTTTTACTCCCAAATGGAAAGTCTGGTTTTCTGCTTTTTAAGGCTTTGTGCTGTGGAATTGAAAGTTATATTTGGAAGGTCTGCACAGGAATGTTCTCTCTGAGAAGGTTATTGTCTGCTGTCGTCATTACTTGGGAGTAGATTTTTACAATGTGAGAATTAGTGCTAGATTTTCATATCTTCAAAAGTTACTTATATATTTATACTTAAAAATTTTCCCTTTAAAAGTCTTTATTTTAGGTATCCATAGATATTATTACAGGGGTTGGATGTCCATGTATTATGCAAATTTTTAGTGACCAGGGTTCATTTCAGGAATCCAAATGGGATCTAAATAGCTTCAATGGTTCATACATGAATAGGCATAAGTACGGACAACATTCTCTGATATTTAGAAGGCTTTAAAGTGCCAGTGGCTTCCAGTTTTGCCTGCAGTTCTCATAGGGGGTGTTTCTTCAAACTGTAGTCCTTTCCCAGCTTTTGTCCTATTGGTAGCTGCTCGAGCCCTCTCCTAGTTCTGCAGTGACAGTTTACCACGGCATTAAAGGAGGACTATCATCAAAAGAACAACCAGAGAGCTAGAGTTACCTTCTCATTCTGTTAAAGGACTACATTCCCTCTTTGTTGCCTCCGTTTTCTCTTTCTAAAGCTGGTGCCTTTTTCTAAAGTGGTAGTCCATGGACCACTTCAAATTAAAACTGATTCTACACTCAGTAAGGCTGGGTTCTTGCTTTTTAACATAATATTTTGGATCTGTAATTAATAAATTTGATTGGAATCACCAAAGTTATATTTTATCCTGATTAATTTCTGGATCATATGTTCCTAACCAGCTGTTTTTTTTTTTTGTTTTTTTTCCAACTTATAAGTTCCTATTGCAAGGGCTGCTGGCAAACCTTGCTATGTTTTCCAAGCCAAGTGGCCATCGGATAGGCATATGTGTTTAGAGTGTCCTGGCCTCTTCTTATAGGGCCTATCACTGTCCTTTAATCAGGCAAGAAGGTACACTTGAGCTTTTTCAGATAGTCCTTCTTTAAACCTGCAGGATCACAAGTAATCTTTTTAATTTTCTTGTGTCCGTCCGTCTTTAATTTCTCCAGATACTGCAGGCAAACAGCTCGCCGAGGTGTCCCATGGGGGTTTAAAAGCCGCATCGAATGCAGTTGAATTAGCGCCCGTGGCGCAATCCCGCGGCCTGAAATGAACCCTGCGAGGCTGTGTATCAGAGGGTATGTTGTTAACTATTGGCCTATTTTCATACTGGGCAGATAATTGGAACGTTATGGAGATGGGGGCAAAACTGATTGAGGTTATGCCAAAAAGACTGGAAAGGATCTAGAAAGGATTTTTTAGGGCAGACATCAGCTTTGAACTTCACACTTTCCTTGGTCCGAGGGGTGCCCTCCCGACTTCTAATCCTGATGGCATAGGTCCACCTATGAAATGTTCTTCCCTGAGATTTTGTTCTGTTGTGCCAGAATTTCTGTTGAGAATTCTTTATCTTGCCTCTGTTTACAATATTTCATCTGTAAATGTGTATTAATCTAAATTAAAGATGTGGTGAGTGTTGCCTTCACTTACTTGCTTATGGAATTTTCTAGCAGAGGTCTTAGGTAGTTTGGATGGACAAGTAGTAGCCTGGTTCTTGAAGTCTTTCTGTTCTCAGAACAGATTATGACATGAGTTTTTATAGGTCTTTTGTTTGGCGCCTTATTTCTATCCTGATATAATACATGCCTTATGTTTGTGATACTGTATTTAGAAATAAACAAAACTGAGAGCAGCCTTTTTTTCTGAAGGAGAGTGATTTTGAGGGAGAGGGGGTGGTGGTGTTGATAGTGTGGTTATATTATTCTAGTGTTTTGGAATCTTTGTATAAAATAGTTTGTCTTAGATGCAGAAAAACATGGAGTAATATCCCTTCCATAATGGCACAAATAAAATTTTTGACTGATGTGGTATAACAAACCTCCAGTCCTGTTGAATTGAAAGACAAAACTCAAAGAAAAAGTTTGTGTGGTGGCAGCAGCAGCTGACTCTGGTATAGGAAAGAAGGAAAATGATCTTTTAAAAGCCCATAATCTACTTGGTGATCAAGGCCTTTAAAAATTAGATTAAACATTTTACTTAATTTTAGTTTGACTTCATTGTCTGACCTGTGAAATATTTATACCAAGGTAATGTCTTTCCTTCCCAGACCTCAGAATATATTATTCAAGCTTACAAATATGGTGCATTTGAGAAGATTCCAGAGTTTATCGCTTTTAGGAACAGGCTGAATAATTCTCTTCATTTTGCACAAGTCCGTACTGAACGGATGTTGTTAGACCTTCTACTTGAAGCAAATATGTAAGTACTAGAGGCCTGGTGCATGAACTTGTGTATGAGTGGGGTCCCTTGGAGTGGCCTGTTGGGATCAGGCCCCAGCTAGCGCCTAAACCACCGCAGCCCCACCTGACACCCAGCCATGGCCTGGCATTGTCCCCTTACCTGCTCCACCATTCTGCCTGGGGGGCAATTGATCGTGACCAGGCACCCCACCCAACTCCTTCAGCACCTGGAAGCTGGGCGGTGGCCCCGCTTCTGTCTGCGGGGTGATGGGTGGGGCAGTTGGGCCCCTGTTCACACCTTTCTTGGCTTGGCACCACCTGCTCACCTGCTCCACCATCCTGTTGTGCTCTTGCTCTTATTGGAGCCTGTTGGGGCTGGCAGGACCTCCACTCCTGCCCACTGCCAGCACTGATGCCTGCCATTACGTCTGCCATGTTCCACACTGCCCCCTGGTGGTCAGAGCATGTCATAGAGAGCAGTTGAACTGTTCAAACAATTTGCATATTAGGCTTTTATTATATAGGATTGCATAAGAGCTAAAAAGGAACTAAGGGATAAGATCAAATGCTGAGAGCCTTTAATGGGCTCATGGGTGACATTAACAGGTTTAAGCTAAGGAAAATGGGGGGGAAATGAGTAAATAGGAGGGGATGCAGGAAAGAAAGGGGTAGAGAACTTGATATATGTCATGGGAATGAGAGTACTGCTAGGTTCTATACAGAAGCCAGCTAGACTCTGGGAAATATTGTGTTTATGAGGATCCCTGCACACATGGGATTTCAGGAATCCACTTTGTTTTGGTTGGGCTTTCAGACTCAAGCTGGCATGATCTGTGCTTGGTTCTCTTACATCTTCTATGCGCTTTTACTACTACTACTATTACTTTTTTAAATGTATTTTTATCGACTTTAGAAAGAGAAGTAGAGTGAAAGATGAAAACATCTATGAGAGAGAATAATTGATTGGCTGCCTCCTGCATGCCCCTTACTGGGGATTGAGCCCAAAACCCAAGCATATGCTCTTGACCGGAATTGAACCCAGGACCCTTCAGTCCGAAGGCTGATGCTATATCCTCAGCCAAATTAGGTAGGGTGAGCCTTTACTTCTTAATAGTAAATCCTCTCTTCCTCCATTCCTTTCTAATAAAAGAGTCCTAGCTAATACGTTTTTATGGCTTGTTTATAACTTAAATAATACATAAATATATTTTCTGTATCACAGATCAATCAGCTTAGCAGAAAGTATAAGGTCAATGAATCTTCGGCCAGAAGAAGATGACATTCCATGGGAAACCTTGCGAGACAACAGAGACTTAAATGTTTTCTTCAGCTGGGATCCAAAAGATAGGTAACTGGAAGTACCCCCCAAGCGATTTAAAGAAATAGAATGAATCTAAGAATTGAGTTTTTTTAAAACCTTTTTACACAAGTATAACAGTAGAGGCCCAATGCACGAAATTCATTGGGGAGCTGTGACAGGGTGTCCCCTCAGCCTGGCCTGCACCCTCTCATAGTCTGGGAGCCCTTGGGGGATGTCTGACTAATGGCTTAGGCTAGGGGTGTCGAACTCAATCAGAGAAGGGGCCAAAATCTAAAATCCAGCCTAAATCGCGGGCCGAATGGTTTACTGAACAGTCATAAACTATCATTGTGATGGAAACGCAGCGGAGTGCAGTGATGACAGTGCGGTGCGGGCCACATTGCAAGGCCTGGTGGGACGGATTTGGCCCGCGGGCCTTGTGTTTGACACATGTGGCTTAGGCCCACTTCCCACCAACTGTCCAACTGCCAGCTGTGAGCCCCGCTTCTTGCTGAGCAGTGCTCCCCTGTGGGAGCACACTGACCACCAGGGGTCAGCTCTTACATTGAGTGTCTGCCTCCTGGTGGACAATGTGCATCATAACGACCAGTCATTCTATCATTCGGTTGATTTGCAAATTAGCCTTTTATTATATAGGATGTTTATTGTAGGAATCAGAAAATATAAGTAAACCAAAGGAAGAAAATAAATCTCACCCCTATGTTGGGATTAAAAGTTCTATTCTTCATAGCATCCATGCAAACAGACTCCAGATAGATTATAGATTATGTTAAAATCCATTAGAAATTCTAGAAGAAAATATAAAATAAAAATGATTGGGGAAAGCCTTTCTTAGCATTATATGAAATATAGAAGTAAAGGTCTAAGGATATGTGGTAAGTTGGTAAATATCAGCTTACCAGAAAATATTTAGCAAAATATATATTTTTGTTAATCCTCACCTGAGGGTATTTTTTTCATTGAGTTTTTTTTAGAGAGAGTGGAAGGGATAGGGAAAGGGCAGGGAAGGAGGAGGGAGAGAGTATGAAACACCTATGTGAGACAGACACATTGATTGGCTGCCTCCTGCATGCACCCTGACTGAGGTCTGGGATAAAACCACTGAACTATGACCCTCTGGTGTGTTGCCAGATGCTTTAACCCCTGAAGATCAGGGCTCTTTATATATATTAATAGCCTTCATATATAGAGAGAACTGAGAAGAAGATAACTAAAAAACTAATTGGGTAAATGGCTTAATAGGAAATTCAAAGAAATGATTCTTACAGCAATAAAAGTGTTTTAACCTGTCAGGTGAAGATAAAAAGGATTAATACTATGCTCAGCAAGATGGTGGGAAAATCGTTTTTATATGTTTACATGGGGGTGAAACTATATTACCTTCCCTAACCAGGAGTTTTAGTGATATGTATATGTATCAAGATTGAAAGTTCATATACTATTTAGTTCAGCAGATCTGCTTCTAGGAAAGTGGAACCTAAGGAGATATGTCTATGAGGTGTAGGTCAGGCAGAGATATGTCTATGTATGAGGTGTAGTTCTGAATATACTGTGACTTGGGGATTGCCTAGAACACATTTAGTGATTGGCAAGGACTCATGGGGCTTAATATATCCTTGCTCTCACAACTAAGGTTTATTTTATTTTGTTTTTACTTATTTAATTTTTAAATTTTATTGATATGGTATCACATAATTGTCCTACAACTAAGGTTTATTATAATAAAAATAGATGACAGAATCAGCAAGGGAAAAAACATACAGTTGGAGTCTGGAGAATTCCATGCACAGACTTCCAGTACCTCTCCGACCCAGGAGGTGCTCTATCACACTCGCTCCTTTCTCTAGCCATGGAAAATACAGTAATAAGTGTGCAATGTTTCTGCTCAGAGAAGCCCATTAGAGAGTTGGTGTCCAAGGTTTCTAGCAGCTGGTTATATAGGTATGCTCTGTGTAGCATGTATCAACATTCTAGACACTCAGAAGGAAAACAGGTGTCACCATAAACAATAGGTTTGTACAGTCTAGGCACAGTGAGACGCTCTTGTCATTTAGAGAATAGTTGGAGTACCAAGTTTCCAGACGTCAGCGAAGAGCTACCCTTTAAGTAGGCTCTTCTAAATTAATAGCCTCAGGCTTACTATGTTAATCTTTTCTACACATTCTATCACAAAAAGATTCAGTTTGGAAACTGGTATTAATATAGTGAACCTGTGTTATTTGCTTAAAATAAATTGTATAAATACTTTTAGTTGCATACTTTTAGTACCTCTGTATTGCAAAAATCTGAAATCTGTAAGTTTGTTAATATGGTGGATGCTTGGTTATCAGGGCATTTTCCTTCTGCTTTTTACTTTTCTGTCATTTGAATTGTATTATCAGAAAAGTCTCAGTTAAGGAAAAAATAACCTGTTAGGTAGGTTGTCATTCCTGTTGATGGATACCTAAGTGGGGACTTGGATGATTTTGGTTTGTCTAAGATCATTCGGCTAGTAAATGAAAGCTGGACCACTCAAAGGCATCTTGTCTGATGAAAGTTAACTTTGAAAGATTTAAAGGCAACATATTTAGTAAAAGGGATGGTTTGGGGATTTTTTTAAAGGGATGTTTCTGAAGAGCATAAGAAACTTTCCTTGGAGGAGGAGACCATGTGGTTAAGAATCCGTTCCTTAACATTGAGGCTGATCAGTGGACTCCCAAGTCTTAACCACCCTGTGGAACCCAAGAACTCGGAGAAGACCACTGAGAACGGTGTAGCCTCCAGGGTTGATATTCTTCGTTTGCTCCTTCAACAGCTGGAGTCTGCCCTGGAGACAGGAAAGCGATTTATTGAAAAGGAAATTCAGGTATATATTATCAAAGCTTCAGTAATTTATGACTATCTTTTTAATAATATAATTTGGGTGGGTGAATTGTAAGAAACAGAATTTTGTCCCAGTTTATGAAATCTGTAGGAAAAAGGCAAATATTACAAACTTAGGAGGTTGTAGAGGCTGTTTCGATATCCAAACTGGAAAGTGAGGAAAAACAAAATAGCATTTTTTGGTGATAGTAAATTATTTTTTAATCCTTACCCGAGGATATATTCATTTATATTTAGAGAGAAGGGGGAAGGGCAAGAGAGAGAGAAACAGACATCAATGTGAGAGAGAAATATCATTGTGTTGCCTCTCCCATGGGCCCTCACTGGGGATAGAACCTGCCATCTAGTAGATATGTGTCCTGATCAGGAATCGAACCGTTTTTATGTATGGGACAATGCTCCAACCAACTGAGCCACACTGGCTAGCGCTGTGATGGTAAATTTTTTCTTTTGATTTTAGAGAGGAAGGGAGAGGGAGAGAGAGATAGAAACATCAATGATGAGAGAGAATCATTGATCTGCTGCTTCCTGCACGCCCCCTACTGGGGATCGAGCCCACAATCTGAGCATGTGCCCTGACCGGGAATCGAACCCTGATCTCCTGGTTCTTAGGTTGACGTTCAACCACTGAGCCACGCCAGCTGGGCAAGGTGATGGTAAATTTTTAATAAGATTATGTATTTTCTATATAATGATTTAGTTGTTAACATAGTCTCCTTTTACTCCTGATTATGCTTTCCACAGTTACAGTTGGTTACTTGCAGTTAAACACAGTCTGAAAAAATTAAACGGAAATTTCTAGAAATAAACAATTTATAAGTTTTAAATTGCTTGCTGTTCTCACACTGCTCTATCCCGCTCCATCCTACCTGGAACATGAATTATCCCTTTGTCCAGCATTTTCACACTTATACACTATCTGCCCTTTAGTCACTTAGTAGCTGCTTTGGTTATCAGGGTATCGCAGTGCTTGTTTTTAAGTCACCCTTATTTTACTTAATAGTCCCAAAGCACACAGTAGTAATGCTGGCAATTTGGATATGCCAAAGAGAAGCCATAAAGTGCTTCCTTTTAAGTGAAAAGATGAAAGTTCACAATTAAGAAAAAAAGTCTTATGCTGAGGTTGCTAAAATCTACACTAAGAAGCAATTGTCTATTCATAAAATTGTGGGGGGTGGGGCGGGGAAGAAATTTGTACTATTTTTCTGTTGTACATCAGATTGCAAAAGTTATGACCACGGTGTGTGATAACTGCTTAGTTAAGGTAGAAAAGGCTTAAATTCATAGGTGGAAGACATAAGCAAAATACATGTTTTGATTGCTAGCAATGTGTTGCTCCCTTATACTAAGACTTCATCAAGGAGTTCATTGAAACAAGTGACTACATTCACTTAACTTTCACTATGTTATACTAGAGGCCTGGTGTACGAAATTAGTTGTCCCTCAGCCCAGACTGTACCCTCTCCAATCTGGGATCCCTCTCACAATCCAGGACTGCTGGCTCCCAACCAATCGCCTGCCTTATTGCCCCTAACAGCTTCTGCCTGCCAGCCTGAGAGCCCCCTAGCTACTCCCTTGCCAGCCTGATTGATGCCTAACTGCTCCCCTGTGCCCCGATTGCCCCTAACTGCCCTCCCCTGCAGGCTTGGTCACCCCCAACTGCCGTCCTCTGCTGGCCTGGTCACCCCTAAATGTCCTCTCTTGCCAGCCTAGTAGCCCCCAGTTGCCTTCCCCTGCAAGCCTGGTCGCGCCTTACTGTCCACCCTTGCAGGCCTAGTCACCCCCAACTACTATCCCCTGCCAGCCCGATTGCCCCTAACTGCTCTCCCTACCAGCCTGGTCACCCCTAACTGCCCTCTCCTGCTGGCATTTTGTGGTGGCCATCTTTGATCACATGGGGGTGGCCATCTTGTATGTTGGAGTGACGGCCAATTTGCATATTACATTTTTATTATATAGGATTGTTATAATTGTTCTATTTTATGTTAGTTATTAATCTGATTTATAATTAAACTTGATCAGAGATATGTATGTGTAGGAAAGAAATAGTATATACAAGGTTTGAGAGTCTCCACAGTTTCAGCCATCCACTGGGGTCTTGGAATGTATCCCCTGTGGATAAAGAGGGTGGAGGGGCTACTATAGTTTGCGGATCAATGGTATGTAAATTAATCACTAAGATAGATATTTACCCATTAGTTACAGACATTTGTTTCCTTATTTTGTATGAAATTACATGAACTTAAAGAACCTCACTTTATTCCTTTCTTTTTCAGTATCCTTTCCTTGGTCCTGTGCCTACCAGAATGGGTGGATTCCTTAATTCTGGCTGTTCTCAGTGCCAAACCAGTTCTTTTTATCTTGTTTGTGATATTTATGAGCTGGATACCAATGGTTTAGGTAAGTTATGTTTGCTTGAGTCTATTTTGTGGGTCTTTGTCATTGCAACATTGCACTTAGTAAATGCAACACATAATATCTATAACTCACTATTTAAAACTTTAAAGGAGATGGAAGCTGGGAGCTGTTCTGGAAATGTCTGGTTTACAGGGAAGTACATTAAAAGGTTACAAAGTAATGTTTTAGAAGTTTAAGTCCTTTCATATTTGAAATCTTATTAGGTTCAAAAGAATAAATAAATAAATAAAAATAAATTCTTGATTTGTTACACTATTTTTAGATTTCAGATTGAATTCTTTATTTAAAAACAAAGCCCTCAGCTCTGGCTGGTGTGGTTCAGTTGGTTGGGCATCATCCTGTGCACTAGGAGGTTGCCTATTCGATTCCCAGTCAAGGGCTCATCCCGGGTGTGGGCTCAATCCCTGGTAGGGGTGTGCAGGAGGCAGCCAATCGTTGTTGCATTCTGACATTGGTGTTTCTCTCTTTTTCTCCCTCTTCCTTTTCTCTTTAAAAATCGATAAACTATTATATATTTTTTTAAAAAACATATATACATTTATATATATATTTTTTTTTTTTAAATTTTATTTTTTTATTTAATATATTTTATTTATTTTTTTTTTTTTTTTTTTTTTTTTTTTTTACAGAGAGGAAGAGAGAGGGATAGAGAGTTAGAAACATGGATGAGAGAGAAACATCGACCAGCTGCCTCTTGCACACCCCCACTGGGGATGTACCCACAACCAAGGTACATCCTTGACCAGAATTGAACCTGGGACCTTCAGTCCGCAGGCCGATGCTCTATCCACTGAGCCAAACCGGTTTTGGCAAAATATATTTATTTTTAAATGATTTCAGAGAGGAAAGGAGGGAGGGAGGGAGAGAGAGAAAGATATATAAATAAGGAGAGAGAATCATCAATCAGGCTTTCTCCTCACATACCCTACACTGGGATCTAGCTTGCAACCTGGGCATGTGCTCTTGACTGGGAATGGAACTGTGATCTCCAGGCACATAGGTTGCTGCTCAACCATGGGCTGGCTTCGCAATAAACTATTCTTTAAAAAGGAAAAAATGAAGTTTTTAACTTTGTGGAGAAGAGTTTCTTTCTAAGCTCTAAAACCAGTGAGAATCACAAATATTGTCAAGGCTGTGGTGATTTCCCCCCCCTTCTGAATCATAAGGTTTATGCATCCTGTCCTGTCATTTAGAGTATTTGAAACATAGATTTCTAGTTCTTCTAGACTAGAAATCTTTTCCTTTATCTTTTCTCAATTTTTTTTCTTTTCCTTTCATCTTTCTCTGTCTGTCTGTCTGTCTCTTTAGAGAAAAGAAAATGTCTTTGCCTACGTGTGGCTTGCAGGTATTGAGCTTGCTTAAAAAAAATGAATGTTTTTCATTGTTTTTCAATTTTAGAGGATACAATAGAGATCCAGGAGCGAGTAGAGAATACTCTTAAGTCTTTACTAGAACAGTTAAAAGGTAAGCATTCTTATTGTTGTGTCCCCTTTTGTATCTGATTGTCTGATAATAGCTCATTATTTTTTAAGTCAAAACTTGCAAGAGGATTTGAAAGTAATACATACTTTTGGTATGTTTAAGATTTGCTTTTAACTTTAAAATGTTTTATTGCAAAAGCCATAGATTCCTATTATATAAATAGTACACAGCTATGTATGGTCTTTCCCTTTGCCAGCCCTATTCCCTCAGAGTAAGAAATGTGTGACGCTTTGGAGTCCAAACTGCCCATACATGTATATATGGAAATACATAGTAGTAATTGTTTTTAACATATGAAAAGGTATAATATATGCTTTTCTGACTGTAATTTGCTATTTTGGATATCTTACCATTTCAGTTACATGTATACTTCATTCATTTTGAAGACTGGATAATATTCCATGGTTTTTAATCATTGTACCAAATTTGTTTATGCTTTTCTCCATCCAATATATAATAATATACACTTGAGTTACTTATAGCAGTATTTTTAACAGCATATATTAACAATGCTGAAATGAAGATCTTGAGACATAAGTATTTGGGTACTTATTTGAGTATTTTCTTTGATTAAATTCCTAGAAATCGAATTATTTGGTAAAAGGATATACATAAGCATTTTATATCTATAAGGGATTTTCTCCTCAGGATTCTAAACTATTTTTAATTTTATTGCCCAAATGAAGAATGAGGATTAAAAGATGAACAAGATTGTAAATCAAATGTGGTATTTGTTTATGAAGGTGCATCTCTACCATGCTCTTAATGGCATGTTTAGGTTCTTCTAAATTATTCATTGGGAATCTTAATTTTATTGTGTCAATGGCCTATTTGTGAAAAGGCTCAGACACTAGAATATAGTTTATAAAGCCACCTTTTGTATTTTGAAGACAATAGAGCAATAGTCATGTGGCTTTTAAGAGAGCTTAACATAGATATTCTTTGGTATTTGATTTATTGTGTGAGGATGAGAGGCTTGATTAAGCTTTAATATTTATTTGTTTATTCTTTAGTATATTGTACATTGTGTTTCTAAGAATAACATTGAAACAGGGCTGAATAAAACCATGAGATATTTTTCTGTTTTTAGATGTCTTCAGCAAATGTAAAGGTGATCTGTTAGAAGTTAAAGATGGTAACTTGAAAACACACCCTACTCTTTTAGAAAATCTAGTCTTCTTTGTTGAGGTATGTTTTGTTTTTTTCCTGAAAAACTAGATTGTTTTCTATTGTCTGAAGGATTAATTTTTCAAAAATGAACACTGAATAGGCAATCTGGACCTGAAATTTAATCCCTCACACCTGCCTTTTGTTAATTGGAAAACAGTGGACTCATCTTTAAAGATTTCTGATCCACACCAAATCTAGCTGTTTTCTGTTCATTTTCCTTGTTGACTCAGCTATTATGTAATTTAATCCCTCCAGCTTCTTTTATTATTACTATTCTTTAATTACTGAGATTCTGCGTTATGAAGGATGACCCAGGAGCTGATATATCAAAACTCTCCTTCTTTTAGAAGAGAGGAGGATATATCACAAACACCAATAACTTAACTTTTCTTTAATTTCTGTGGCATATATTTTTCTTCTCCTACTATTATAGTTTGTAAACTTGCTGAGGGTAGTATTTTCTGTTCTGATGATTGGCACATTATAAGTGCCTATAATACACTTACTAAATGAATGAATAATTGCATGTATATGAACATATATGTACACTATAGTGAAGAAGACATACAAACATCTAACAAATAGAGGATATATGTGACCAACTAGGCAGAATCTCCATGTATATTTAAGTTAAGGTTTGCAGGTAAGGTAGTATCTTTTTTTTTTTTTTTAATATATTTTATTGATTTTTTACAGAGAGGAGGAGAGAGGGATAGAGAGCTAGAAATGTCGACGAGAGAGAAACATCGACCAGCTGCCTCCTGCACACCCCCTACTGGGGATGTGCCCGCAACCAAGGTACATGCCCTTGACCGGAATCGAACCTGGGACCCTTCAGTCCGCAGACCGAGGCTCTACCACTGAGCCAAACCGGTTTCGGCGGTAAGGTAGTATCTTACTTGGCTGAAGAGGTGGGTGGGAAGAGATATATATATTGTAAAGAACCTTTGGATTCCATGTTTAGGAATTTGGACTTCTCACTTGAGTGAAAAGGATGCTGGTAGATCCGCACTTCTGATAGGGAAGAGAAAGGAAATAGGATCAAGTGGAGCCTGAAGAAAGGATAAAGATTTAAGGTGTTTAAGAGTATTTAAGCCGGAGATGATGAAGGCCTGGAATAATGTGGTTACCATAAAACTTAGAGAGTGGAGAGTTGGAGGAGAAATTGAAGGGACTTACATAGAACAACTGTCAATTTATTTGTTTAATCCATTACATTTAACTGTTCCTGATTGATATCTTGAGTGTAATCATTATTCATGAATTTGTAATTTTTCCTTTTTCAGACTATTTCTATTATTCTGTGGGTGTCCAGTTACTGTGAGAGTGTCCTGCGACCATACAAATTAAATTTACAGAAAAAGAAAAAGAAGAAAAAAGAAACCAGCATCATCATGGTAATAACAGAAAATACAAGTAATAATCTGGCTGCATGCTGCTTTTTGTTTCCTGCATGTTGTGAGACCTTAGGGTCCTATATGCACTTATTTTCTTTCCCCAATTACTAAAAACTTACACACCTACTGGAAAGTTGAAATATTAATATAATTACCAAATAGCCTTACCTAGTCTTTCCACTTTAATAGTGTGCACATTTGTTTTGTTTTCCTTTCTCCCCCGTCCCTTCATTCACTGTGTCTACGATAATTAACAGTCATGAGTACAAAGTCTGAAAGGATAGATCAGAGTTGCTCTGTTACTCTCTGTGTTAATGGAGTGCTACTCTCTTAGAACTTGTAAATTGCTTTTTGGTATTTGGATTTTGTAGTTTTTGCTTTTCTAATTCCAAGAATAAAAATAACTTTCCTTATTTTTATGATTATCTCAATAACCTAACGGTGTAAATAAACTGAAGATCATCTATATTCCCAACAAGCAATGACAGCCACTGCAAACAAACCAGAATCATGCTCTATAGGTTTTTCGACTATTAGTTTGTTTTTGTTTTTTATTTAATGACATTTACTGACATCTCATTTTAGTTAATATATATGTATTTCATTACCTTTAATGGTTATATACTATCCTGTTGTATTAATATACCATCATAACTTATTCCCATTGATAAATATTTGATTGGTTCTAATTTGCAAATATTCTAAATTATGCTGTTATTAAAATATGGACATATACACAAAGATGAATTCATAATATTTCCTTATAATATCTTATAGGTCTAAGTTACTATGTATGTACATTTTTACATTCCACAACAGTGTTGAGTGTGTCTGTGTTCTTACCCATCTGATAAGCAAACATTACTTTTTTTTTTTTTTTCTAATTTGTATTTAAAAATTTCTATTGATGTTGAACCTTCAAAGAAGATTTCTTGAGTGAAAAGCTGATTTATTACTTGATTGGCTAGTTTTCTTGCATTTATCTGTGTTTTAAATTGTATGATATATTGCTAGGATTTCTTTGCTATATTTTTTGTTCTATCATTGCCCAAGTTTCCTATTGTAATATAATATTTTACCTTTTGATATAGTCTGACCTGTTGGACTCTTAATAATATAATAGTGTTATTAATCCTTTATCTTAGATGATTTCTTCCAGTTTGTCATTGTTCTTTTTTTATTTAAAAAATTTTTTTTTATTTATTTCAGAGAGGAAGGGAGAGGGAGAGAGAGATAGAAACATCAATGATGAGAGAGAATAATTGATCGGCTGCCTCCTGCATGACCCTATTAGGGATTGAGTGCACAACCCAGCCAGGTATGTGCCCTTGACCGGAATTGAACCTGGAACCCTTTAGTCCTCAGGCCAATGCTCTGTCAACTGAGCCAAAGCAGGGCAAAATTTTCTTGACTGTAGTCTCCCATCATTTTAAAATATATATATATTTTATTGATTTTCCACAGAGAGGAAGGGAGAGGGATAGAGAGCTAGAAACGTCGATGAGAGAGAAACATTGACCAGCTGCCTCTTGCACACCCCCCACCGGGGATGTGCCTGCAACCAATGTACATGCCCTTGACCGGAATCGAACCTGGGACCTTTCAGTCCGCAGATGGACGCTCTATCCACTGAGCCAAACCAGTTTTGGCCTCCCATCATTTTTCTATTAGAACTTAGACTATTCTGTTTCTGTTATTAATACTAGAGGAAATTTCAAAGACATAAAGAGAAGAAATGAAGTCTTAGGGTCCTCTCATCTCATTTAGTGTTCCAGGAGATTCTCAATTCAAAATTGAGTAATGGCCAAGATACTTTTCTACTAGAATTTCATCTCTAGTTCACCAGGTTGAATTAAAATCTCATTTTTAAAGAATGCTTAAGTCATTATTGCCGAGTTAGTATTATTTGGTGGCAATTAAATATACTATGGTTTTCAAGACTGTGTTAATATCAAAACTATCCATTCCTATTACTGTTAATAGCATTAAGTAATTCTATAGTATGAAATTAGTATAGCTTAAATGATGTAAGCATAGGAAATAAGTTTGATAATCTTTCAACTATTTAAAAATGTTTTTTTCAGCCACCTGTCTTTACCAGTTTTCAAGACTATGTTTCTGGACTTCAGACTTTAATTTCCAATGTTGTGGATCATATTAAAGGGCTTGAAACACATCTAATTGCACTTAAACTTGAAGAACTTATTTTAGAAGACACTTCTCTCTCATTGGTAAGAGAATGTAGGCAATCAGCAATAAGTTATAAAGAAATATTAAAATGTTCTCTCTCATAAGGACATGTTAATTTTCAATTCATCATTCTCCCCTTACAGGAATTTTGATTAGAAGGTGCCTGCAGTAGTAGTTTGTTGAATCTTTGGGGGTGGGAGTGTGGGTGGTGCATGTCCCCTCCTTTATTTCCAACCCCTTTGTCCCCCAGTCCCCAGCCTCCAATCAGTCCCAGCCCCACTATCCAGAACCATTCCCATCTCTCTCTTCTGTATTTCTATGACACAATTGTATCTGCCATTAGACTCTAAGACTTTCAGGCACTGGGGAACTCGGTGAAGGCCTAGAAATTGAATCTAAAGAAATAGGTACATCCCAGATAGGTTCTGGCTTCCTTCCTTCCACTTGAGAAGAGAGACACTTGCTGTCCTTTTGGTATACTTTTCCATATAAGGAAATATGGTAACTTTTAGTTACAGATTTGGAACTGTTTAATTTTTTACTTTATAGACCAAATCCAAACTCTCTATTTGAAACTCACATCCCCTTTTCCGAATAATATAGAAAAACAAAAACTCAAAATTACAGCACTTATTTTTTTTCTTTTTTTTAATATATTTTATTAATTTTTACAGAGAGGAATTGAGAGGGATAGAGAGTTAGAAACATCGGTGAGAAAGATACATCGATCAGCTGCCTCTTGCACACACCTCACTGGGGATATGCCCACAACCATGGTACGTGCCTTGACCAAATCGAACCCAGAACCTTTCAGTCCGCAGGCCGACCCTCTATCCACTGAGCCAAACTGGCTGGGGCTCAATTTCTTTATAAAATGGAAATCATATTAATACCTACTTTTTAGGATTATAGTGAGGATTAAATAAATCAACAATGGCCTTTTATTACTTACTTTTTTAAAAATTGTTCTTCATTACTGAGTAGCACCAGCTATGAAATATAGGATCCATATAGTGCTGAGTACTTGTCTTTTGAATCAAAAAAAAAATTTTTTTCCAATTCATTTTCCATTAGGTTACTCTCCCCCCCTCTCCCCCCACCCCCTTCTTTTCTAAACTGGAAACATTCTAGAAGGCCTCTGGACTACCACTGCCAGTCCTGGTCTCCTTTCCTAAGAGTATCCGCTGAAACTGGTTGTGTGCCAAGATCGTTTCCCCCCCCCCTTCTTCTTTCATTTATATTCATAGAGAAAATACACAGTATTATATGTGTATTTTAAAAACCAACTGTTTTGTTTTTTTTTAATATATTTTATTGATTTTTTTACAGAAAGGAAGAGAGAGGGACAGAGAGTTAGAAACATCGATGAGAGAGAATCATCGATCAGCTGCCTCCTGCACACCCCCCACCGGGGACGTGCCCGCAACCAAGGCACATGCCCCTGACCGGAATCGAACCCAGGACCTTCCAGTCCGCAGGCCGATGCTCCATCCACTGAGCCAAACCGGTTTCGGCAAAAACCAACTGTTTTTAAAAAATATATATTTTATTGATTTTTTATAGAGAGGAAGGGAGAGGGATAGAGAGCTAGAAACGTCGATGAGAGAGAAACATCGACCAGCTGCCTCCTGCACACCCCCCACCGGGGATGTGCCCGCAACCAATGTACATGCCCCTGACAGGAATTGAACCTGGGACCTTTCAGTCCGCAGACCACTGAGCCAAACCGGTTTCGACACCAACTGGTTTTAATATAAACTTATAATGTGCTCTACTATGTTAGGTTTTCAAAATAAATGGTTCACTCTATTTTACTCGAAAGCTGGGCTTTTTTTCATTCAATCTTATATTCATGAGATCTGTTCAGGCTAATGCATATAGGCTAATCTTGTTCTTCTGAACAGCTGTTTAGTATTCAAAATATGTATGCACCACAGCCATTGGCTCTTTCAGGTTATTCTATAACTACTTTTATATACTGAATGAAATGTATTTGTACATGCTTTCTTATGCACATTTGTGTTTCTGATATTAGATCTCAAAGAGTAGTATTGGGTCATAAGATGTGCTTCCCTGGTTTCTTCCAGGCTTTGGAATACTGCCAACTTTATGTAAACCTAACTAGTTCTCAGTCAACCTCCTTTCTGTGTTTGAATACTCCCGTCCCCTTTGTTTTTTATACTCTCTACCACAAGTCAAATGAGCAGCAAATATTTAACCCACACAACTGAGTAGGCTGAGGAAAGCTTTGCTCATTTTTTAATTATTTGGCCCCTAGAACTCATGGACTTTTCAATATGGAGAGAGACTTGATTATAACTAAAAATTATGATACTATTAAATTTGATGCTTATATATAAGCATAACTCTCCCTCTCCTTTTCCCTCCCTCTCTTCCTCTCCATCTGTTCCTCTCTCTAACCATGTCCCGGGTTATGATTAAAATAATAATAATAATAATAATAATAAATAAAATTTCTACATTTTTTTCTGATGAAATTAATCAGAAATCTCAATTTTTCCACCTTGTATAGCTCATAAGAAAGTAGTGATTTTGTGTTCATTAGTTACAATTTTCTACTTTTGTTGATGGAAGCTTCTCATTAGAAATGTCAGGTTTTTTTTCACTTTATATAATAATGACAAAGGCTACTTGAAATAAAGAATGCCTCAGTGAAAAATCACATGGAAAATATACATCTGTAATGAGCTTTTGCCTTTGCATTTTATGAAATTGAAAATGACACTCCCTTCTGATGGAGTTTGTGGTCAGACAAAGGTAATGGTAATTTTAATTTATAGCTGAGGAACTGTAATCTGGGGGAATGCTTTCTGAGCAGGACCACTAATTCTTGTCTCCTTTGTAGGAAGAAAGAAAGTTTTCAAAGACTGTGCAAGGGAAGGTGCAAAGCAGTTATCTGCACTCACTTCTGGAAATTGGGGAGCTGCTGAAAAAAAGACTTGAAACCACAAAGAAACTAAAAATTTAAGGAAGTATGAACCACAGGCACTATTGATGCTTTGGCAGAAAAAGATATCATCTTCCCAGGCAAAAATCTATATGGTTGACCACCATTTGAATCCAGAACTTCCTCATAAAATGCATGAAGGACTTTGATTGTGAATTAATTTTTTAGGGTATTAAATGTATACAACTGATTAAATTATTGTACATATACCAGAAGCAGGACCCTCATCTGGGTTTGACCACTTTTTATACATGTTCATATGCATTTGACAGCCACAAGAGAACCCCACTTTTCTTCTGTCCTTCTCTCACCAGAAACACCTGGTGGAGGAGGGTCCTATAAAAGCAGTGATAGAAATTAAGCATAAAGTGTCAACGTCAGAGCAGCTGAATGGCACTGCCCTTACAGCAGTGGACATTTTGATTTGGTCTTTGAGCCTGTTTGGAAGCAGAAAGGAGAAGTATTGGGGGACCATAAGTAGGAGCAGGCCCTTTGTCCACATTAGCATTTTGTTTTTGAGGCTCCCTCAGCTGCTTGGCTTCTGCAGAACCCAAGGCAGGTACCCAAAGGGCCTCAGATGAAATTTGGCATAAGCATCTGCCACTGAAGGCCACCACTCAGACAACCACAGGTGCTCATTTTCTGGCTGAATAGTCCTGCTAGTCAAGGCGTCCCCATCCTAGCTCAGGTGAGAGAGATCGCAGACAGGCTTCTACGGCTTCTGTTTCTGTGCAGCTGTTTGGAGGGGAAAGCAGTGCAGACCACTTCTAAGCCTGCTGAGGACTAGTTTGTCTTTTATCTCTTTGGGAAACATGGGAATCACTTTTAAAGAAGAGAAGTGTACATAATTTATGCAGGCAAGTGTAATACCAATGTCATTGGTTTTGTGAGATATATATATATGTATATGTATATGCTTTTACATATATATGTATATTTTTAAGCATATATGTGTGTGTGTGTGTGTGTGTGTGTATGTACAAACCAAATATATATATATACACACACACACACACACATATATGCTTGAAAATAAAGATATAATACTTTTAGTGTTGTTTTTTCTAAGTGGGGGGTTTGAGAAGGAAGGACTTAACCTAGGCTTTAAGTTATAGGCTGGCAAAGGAAATGTTCTTCATTGGTTTGGAGGTTCAGTTTACCACAGGCTTGAGAATTACACCAGGATGGTGTATGAGTTATCCACCTGGAGCTCCCAAAGACGACAGCTTCTGAAGTAGATCTGACAGAAAAGATAAACATTGCTCTTGAAAATGTTATACAGTTTATATAATTCCTTTGGTAACTTTTTTGTATTTGAGCCTGTGCTTCTGTTTTTGGTCTTTGTTACCTAAATACTGTTAAAGTTAATAATTTTGTAAGAGCAAAGAAATGAATTTGATGAGGAAATTCAAGCATCTGGTGGAGGATTGGTCTTGAAGACCTTAAATGTCCTTTCAATGTCCTCACTTCTGTGAAATGTGATACTTTTTTCTTCCAAAAGCAATTGGATGAGGGCTTGGGAAGTCTCTGTATGCAACACAATTGTGTTTTGTCTCCTCATCTTGACTTTCTTAGACTTACAATTTGATAGGGTGATTAATAACTGTTTAAACCCAAAGGAAATTTATAAGAAAATTACTGCATTACTCATTTAAAATAAGACTTGTTGGAAATCTTAATCCATCAAGTAATTTCAAAATACTGTTTTTGATGTCAGTTGGTAACCACGGCTGTCACACCTCATCCCCAAAGGTAGAACTGATCAAGATGAATTGAAAATATTGATTCCAAATGTAATTTAATGACAACATATCATAATTTCATAAAACAACGGCCTTGTTTAGATGGAATTTTGTGTTTGTATAGGGGTGGGGGGTATGTGTGTATGGCATGTGTTTTCAAAATGATGTTTCTTTGAATATCCAAAAATACTGTACATAAAAGTGGAAATGCTCTTTGAAACGTCTTCAACTGACCTTGATCAATCTAGCATGTGTGTGTTCAGTGGGCTGGCCTTGGTCCTCAGGGACAGTGTGACTCCAGTGTCTACCTAACTAGTCTCTTGCTTGGGACCTCTACTAGAAACTCAAACGGTGGCTTTTAGAGGCAGTGTTAAGTTGAGGTTATGTTTCCTTTGTTACTTGCTGATTTTCCTACTAAACGTAGCATTTCAATTAGAGCCAACCTCTTGTGTTTTGAGAAAATTGTAAAAAGAATGAAATTATGCAGAAATGGCCAATATCTTTTATTAATCTGTTTTTTTGGAAACTGTCATGCACTATAAATTGTGTACAGTTAAATATATATATATATATATATTCTTACATGAGTAAAAAGCAACCTCTCCAGCCATCGTATGTCATTGGTATTTGAAGAGAATTCTTAAATAACCCACTGCTGCTGCTGCTGTTTTTTGGTTTGTATGGATTTTTTGTTTTGTTTTTGTGTGGTAAATTGCTATTTAAAAAAAAAAAAGGAAAGGAGAGAAACACGACTACTGTTTACAGACTGAAAAATTACTGCTTTTTTATACTACTGAGAATCTTAAGTTAAAACTCTTCAAAGCAAACATTTGGTTTAAATCATTTATCTGATGTGGATTAAAGGTAGATAAGTTTTTAGTGTTCTCCAAACAGTGAAAAATGTACAAATGCCTAGCTGTGTTGCCCATCAATTTTGTATATTTTCATAATTTTAATTGTTCAAATTGCATTATATTTTGCAATCACTATGTTAAATCTGGATTTGTCTTTCATTTTAACTTTTAATATAAAAAAGGGGTTTCAGTGTATCTACGGCCTTCTTATTGAAACTCTTCCTACTTATTTGATGTGATTTATTAAAATGGGAAGTATATTCTTCCTTTTTCAGAATTAAGCATAGGAAAACTACTTTAAACTGGATGGGTTAATTTATATAAACAACTTTAAGTTGGCATTTCTGCCTTGTTCATTTTTGTTCAGATTCCTAGAAGCTACCTTTTATTTTTTCTACCTTTTAAATGGTATTAATTCACTTCAATTTTGTACTCAGTGTTACGTTCCTCAGCAAAATTGTAATATTTGTGAATTTAAAATTTATTTTGCAAGGCCACTAGTCTTTTTTTTTTTTTTTTTTTTTTTAAGTAGTGCCTTGCATGCTAGCATTCAATAATTCAATATATATATATATTGTGCACTTACTTTACTACATGCCACATTGCATTTTGGGCTCTGCTGATGTAATGGTGGGACCGGATATCCTAGTTAGTGGCTGAGGTGGGTTAAGTAACAAGAAACAATAGCTTATAATTAAGTTGTTTAATAAAATGAATCAGGGTAAGTGATAAACTGGGTCATGAGAGGATGCTTTGAGTGCTGCCATCTGATTGGAATGAGGAAGAGTCAGCCATGGGAAAAGGAATGCAAATGCAAAGACCCCAAGGCAGCAAAACAGCTAAGCATATTCCAGTGACTGGAAAAAATAAAGGGCTCAAGTAGCGGGAACTTCCTGGAAAGAGAGGTAGGGTTTGAGTAGAGGGGATCAGAGCAATGAGGCCAGGGGCAGGAATGTGATCCAGATTTGGTGGGAAGTTAACGATGTTTGTAGATAAGTTGACATGACATCCAAGAGGACTTGAATCCACAGGTGAAGACCTAGTTTATTCAGCCGCATTGACAACACAGTGTAAAGGAGATGTTTTTCTTCAAGTTTCCCTTTTGTCCTGTGATCACTAAGTGCTCCTATTTGAGCCCTGAGAAGTCAGTTTTTGCCTGTTTCCATCCCACTATTTTCCTTTAGCAAAAGGTGAGTGCTTGGATATATTTTAATGCCATTTTTTAACTTTTCCCAAAAGGTGGGCTCAGGGTTTTTTTTGTGTGTGTGTTTTTTTTTCATGTTCCCTATTGTTTAGATGCTATCACTGTGTAATGCAGACATGTACTAGTATGTCATACAAGTGGAAGGTAAGCAACTGTGAGCCAAATGCTTATAAAAATTATTTGTGGGATGCCTAACGTACTTTAGGAGTTTATGCTTCAGAAGCACAGAACTTCTTTGTAACTTCCAGCTTCCACATATCCCAGTTAGAGTGGGTCCCAGGTAAGGTACAATGAGAAAAGTAGTTACTGCATATGAGATTATTATTTAAGACCACCCAGTGAGGCAAGGGTTGAATAAAATTAAAAATCTGAAGCTTGGACAAAATTAGCTAAAATCCAGACACACACACACACCATCTCACATTCTTAGTCTTGATGGCCATGTTAAAATTCCCATTCTGTCTTGGTTCTCTACTGAATAACCAATCTTTCCTGATATGATTCTAATGTCAACATTTGTGGCAAATGCCAAGGACTATTTGTAAATTAAAAACATTCTTAGCAATAATTGAGATAACTTACAAGTTCCCTAGGATGGGATTGTAGTGAGTTCAAGGTTTCATTTGCTTCAGGTAATCTGGAAATTCCCTAAAAGTTATATATATACTTGCTTTATTCTGGGAAACCAGTCCATAGCCTTCATTATAAGCAGCATTTGAGCCACATATTATTTAATGAGATGCAAAAAAGTAAAAGGGAGGAACCCTTATTATTCAATTAAATGAATAGGAAGGAAGTGCCAGGGAAGACTGGATTTTATGTGGCATATGCAAATTGTTCAAATTCTAAACTAGAAATAAAGCCCATCTTTATTGAAAAAGATTTGATACAAAGAGCCTCTGATGTATGATAGTCCAGTCCTGTCCAACAATCCATGTATATTATATACTCATGGTATATATTATCCATTAGACCCATCTAATGAAGTACCCTTGGATGTGTTACCACCTTTATTCCTTTCACATTGAGATGAAACCACATTCAGGAATGTTTGAAAAATTTAGTTCTTTACCAGTCATTTGTCTTCCGTAAGACAGTGAATATTTTGTTCTTTGGAAATGACTGTTTTAGATAGATTAAAAAAACAAATTAAACTGAAAGTAAGTTTGCCAGTGAAAAGCATCCAAAAAAAAAAAAAAATCAAGGTTTTCATTTAGAATTTAAGTAAGGAAAATATTGAAATTATTGGGCTAACTATATGCTATATTCTTTTGTCAATGTTGAGAGTATATGCACTGGTTATAGGCAGGCATTTAGGTTGAGCATCTTTTACTTAATGGAGTTGTTAGCCTAAGCTACCACACTTGTTTTTGTTCCATCAACTTAAACACATAGGTTTTCCTGCATTTTTCTTTCCAGTGAGTTTAAATACCAATGTGGTTAAAATGAAGGAACAATCCTATTTGCTGCCTTTGTTCAACTTAATATCTTTTGGTGCAATTTGAGGAACGGTAGTCTGATAATTTTCAAACAGTAAACATAAAAATGGGGATATTAATGACTTTTACCATTGCATATACTATTCATCCAGAGAACAAATTTTAAAGTTAGTATAATGCTCCTCCCTATGTTAAAATTTTATTTTATTTGGAAGACTCATAGATTTCTTGTTTCACTTATTTATGCATTCTTTGGTAGTTTCTTGTATGTGCCCTGACCGGGGATCAAACCCACAACCTTGGCATATTGGGATGAGGCTCTAACAACTGAGTGACCTGGACAGGGCTCCCTCTGCTTTAAAAAAAAAAAAAAGTTGGTACTTTGTGAGAGTGAGAAAGTAACTTAGATGGCAAACAATTCCTTTTCCTTTTAAATTCCCACATTGGACTGATTTGTATTACTTAGCTATCTAAAATTGATCTAGAAAAAAACCCTCTATCAGATTATATCAGCACAACTAAGAATTTCCTACATTTATCTTATGAAGTATGGAAAAAATTACACTGAGGTTTATTAATGTTGCCATTCAGTTTTAAAGACAAGAAAATGTGGACAATGCAACCTACCACCCAGAACCAGTCCCCTTGAGTCTGAAAATTGGAGGAAAGTAATCAAGGCAGGCCTTGAACTGGGACAGAACAGCTTCTACATTGTTATCAGGATAGTCTGTTACCCTGGTAGAGTAGAATCCATACCAGCCAAAATTAGAAAATAAAGTAGCCCTAACCAGTTTGGCTCAGTGGATAGAATGTCGGCCTGCAGACTGATGGGGTCCCATGTTTGATTCCGGTCAAGGTCATGTACCTTGGTTCCGGGCACATCCCCAGTAGGGGGTGTTGCAGGAAGCAGCTGATTGATGTTTCCCTTTAATCGATGTTTCTAACTCTATCCCTTGTCCTTCTTCTCTGTAAAAAAACAAACAAACCAATAAAATATATTAAAAAAAATAAAAGTCAAAGGAGAAAGCAGGTCATAGTCTAAAGCACATGTGTCAAACACAAGGCCCGCGGGCCAAATCCGTCCCGCCAGGCCTTGCAATGTGGCCCGCACCGCGCTGTCATCACTGCACTCCGCTGCGTTTCCATCACAATGACAGTTTATGACTGTTCAGTAAACCATTCGGCACGCGATTTAGGCTGGATTTTAGATTTTGGCCCCTTCTCTGATTAAGTTCGACACCCCTAGTCTAAAGGATAATTTGTGAAAGAAAACTGAATAGTTTAAGGTCCACTCAACCAAAACATGGAAACTTTAATTGGGTTAGAATTACACCTTTCAAGAATGTGGGCAGTACATTCTTTATAGCACCAATTCCTTCTGAGGAAATTCATAAGCCATTTGAGTAAGTGTTTCGCTGTACCTGGACTAGCTATAGAGATGTTCCAAGCATGGTCATATCAGCATCAATGTCTGGGCATCCCAGAAAGGTCTCAGCCAGCAGGAAACTCTTCCCTCCCCACCCACACCAAACTCTGGAAAACCCTAAGGTCCCTTTTTACAGCTCTTCCTTCTCGGCCCCCTTCTTCTGGAAGGCAGTCAAGATGTTTAAGCTCTTCTGGAGCTCTTCCTTCTTCCCATCGCTCATCTTGTTCTTCTCAATCAGCTTGGTGATCCGGGTCATCTCTGATGTTGGGAAGTCCTCGCCTTGGTCTAAGACCTTCCCCATGACCTTCAGGTACTGCTCAGCCCACTTCTTCTCAGTCTCCTTCACGCTTGCCAGGTTGTCCTGCCCTCTTTTCAAGAGGGCCCGGCGGGCCTCCACGCCAGAGGCCCTGATGAACTCCCCAGCAAGGGCATCGTATGTAGGCAGGCAACCAGGCATACCTAGGTAGATCCCTTGCCCCTTTAGCCAGCGCTGGATGGCTCCAACCTTAACAGGCCCGCTGTATTGGATTGGGTTCTCAAAGTCCCCATCCCGGAAGAGGTAGAAGATTGGGTAGTTCTCTTTGTCCAACTTGTATTTCTCACTTAGCTCCATATTCAGCTTGTCGCCATAATCTGTGAACAGAAACCAGATGTGAGGAGCAAGACCACGAGGAATGTGGGGCAGAAGATTGTTATGAGGCCTATCTGAGCTGAGAGGAAGAGGCATGTTGGTTGTGTCTGAATTCCTCCTTGCTACTTCCTAGCCATGTGCCATTAGTCAAGCCACATTTAACTTCTCTGTACTCCATTTTCCTCATCTGAAAAATGGTACTTCTGAGTGTCTGAGATGCCCTCTAGGTGCCAGGTACTGTTCTAAGTGCTGGAGATCTAGTTGTGATTAAGAGTATAAAGCTCTCTGACCTCAAGGAGCTCATATTCTTCTAAGAGAGAGAAAGAAAGATGATAAACAAATGAACATAAGTGATTAGCGCCACGATGAAAACAAAAACGGAGTGTGAGCTTAGTGGGGGCTGAGGCATTCCAGCTGGGAGGAAACAGAGAGGGAAGAACCCACTGCACTTGGGAATAAATAGTTAGGTGGAATGTTCTGGATGAGCCACGTCCTCCCCTACAGCCTGGAGCTTCATTATAACAGGTGGACAATATGTCTTACTTTTCAAGTGGGATTCAAGAGAAGTTTAAAAATGCAATATCTATATGTCTTTACAGACTGCAAACTGCTAACTGTTGGCCACTATTATTATTATTAAAGCTGTCCCTGAGGTTGACAGCTGTCCTTGGTTTAGTGGCAACTCCTGGTTCTGAGCTGCAGCAAGACAGAAGAATGGACTGTGCTGTCCCGCAGGAGGCATGGTTCCCCCTCTGACCACAGTCCCTGAAAGAGCTCCAAGTTCTCACAGTAAATTTAATGTCAGTGAAGGTTGGAGGGTGAGGAATGGTGGATTCCCTTCCCTAAGGCACCCATGAGGCGGAGCAGAGGTTCTGTGGTCACAGAATCTGCTCAAGAGAAGCTTGCCATGGTTTCTTGAGAGGTCATGACCCCATTTTTACTTAGTGTGTGACTCAGACAGAAAGGTGCTGGGCATTCCCTCTAAAAGTAGGGAAATAACTCTTAGCTTCCTCCCCCTCTGCCCTTCCCAGTCACCTGGACTTGTTCATACCTGAAATTCCCACCTCTGCCACCAAGAGATCATCACTGGAGGCTGAGTTTTCGGCCAGACGCTTGAACTCATCCTGCTTCTCACCGTAGGGGTACTGGGTGTCGAACTTCACCAAGACGAACTTGCTTTTGGGAATGACCTGAAGGTATACAGAATTGAGTGGACAGGGGGTTCCAGGAATTGTCGGGGCTAACTGCCTTTCCCAATGAACTCCTAGTTAAGAAACAGAGTGGAAACCAAGCCCATAAAGGAGACAAGATCTCAATTACTAATATTCGTTCATTCACCTATAGATTCATTTAACAATTTATATGCTGGGTACTCCATTTAGATGCTTATTCACACAAATCAAAGACAAATACAGCCGAAACCGGTTTGGCTCAGTGGATAGAGCATCGGCCTGTAGACTAAACGGCCCCAGGTTCGATTCCGGTCAAGGGCATGTACCTTGGTTGCGGGCACATCCCCAGTAGGGGGTGTGCAGGAGGCAGCAGATCAATGTTTCTCTCTCATTGATGTTTCTCTCTATCCCTTTCCCTTCCTCTCTGTAAAAAATCAATAGAATATATTTAAAAAATAAAATAAAAAAAATTCCCCACAACTATGTGCAATCATCACTAATATCTAGTTCCAGAACATTTTCAACCTGAAACAGAACCACATACCCATTAAGCAGCCATTCCCCAGTCCTCCTTCCCCCCAATCCCTATTATCCATTAATCTACTTTGTCTCTATGGATTTGTTTACTCTGATGGAATTATACACTGTGGCTTCCCTCTTTCACTTAGCATGTTTTCAAAGTTAATCCATGTTGCAGCATGCATCGATATTTCATTTATATCTGTGGCCAAATAAAGATTCCATTGTATAAATAGACCAATTTGCTTAGCCATTCATCAGTTGGTGGACATTTGGGGTATTTCAACCTTTTTTTTGTGAATATCTGTTAGGAATATTCACGTACAAATTTTTGTTTTTATACTTGTCTTCATTTCTTTGGGGTATATACTTAGGAGTGGATCTGAGAGGTCATGTGGTAATTCTACATTTGACGTATGGAGGGATACCAAGGACTTCTTTTGATGGTTTCTTCCAATGCATATATTTGATCTAACAAACCGTCTTTGATCAGTAACACTGCCTTCTCTTTCTCCAACAGAATTTTTTCTAATCAAAGTGATCATTTCCTCAGTGTTTCATCGAAGGCAATCACTGTCCTTAATTAAGTCAAGCTGACATCATTCCAGTTTTTGTTAGTCTTTGTTCCTTATTGTGTGTTGGTGTCTTGTTTAGTTTTAGGTTTTAAAAAATATTTTACACTGCCTAGGGGGACAAGGGGAGAGGGAGAAGCCACCAGAACAGGTCATCTTTAAGTAGCCACTGACCCCCAAAATTCTGAGCTCTGGGGGCCTAAAAGCAAGAAAGACTTAAAATGTAAATCAGATCATATCCCTCTGGCCCAGCTAGCCTTATTTCAATTCAATACACTGAACTCATTCCCACTTAGGGCCTTTTCATTTTCTGTCTCTGGCTGGGTTGCTCTTTCCCTAGTTTTTCTATGATTGTCTAACATTCAAAGTTCCGTTCATATATCCCCTCCTAATGGAGGTCCCCCCTCCACTCATACCACACTCTCTCTCTTACCCTGTTCTACTTTCTTTGCTGTATTTAATCACTCTGAAATCCTTATTTGCTTGTCTGTCTGTCCTCTCCACTAGAATGTACTTATGAGAATAAGGATCTTGCCTGACCTGTTTTCTGCTGTATCCCTATTGCCCAACAGTACCTGTATATAGCAGATGCTCTGAAAATATTTGCTAAATGAACAAAACTAGGACAGACTTTGGTAGCAGACGCTACATGTTCAGTGGGAAAACGATTTTAAAAGCACAACACATGATCTCTATCTGCAAGGGGCGTACATTTGCATTATGGAATAACAATAATGTTAATATTATTAATATGGAATAAATTAACACAGTGTTCTACTGTTTAAAGAGAATTAAGAGGCCTCCATCTTTTACTTTCACCTTCTGTTAGAATGGTTTTGAATGGCAAGCATTTGTACAATACATTTTTTTCTTATTTTTTTTACCCAGTCTGTACCTCTTAATTGCTTTAGGTATCTCTTTTCTTTCTTTCTTTTTTTTAAAATATATTTTTAAATTTTTAAATATATTTTATTGATTTTTTACAGAGAGGAAGGGAGAGGGATTGAGAGTTAGAAACATCGATGAGAGAAACATCGATCAGCTGCCTGCCTCCTGCACACCCTCTACTGGGGATGTGCCTGTATCCAAGGTACATGCTCTTAACTGGAATCAAACTTGGGACCATTCAGTCTGCAGACCTACACTCTATCCACTGAGCCAAACCAGTCAGGGCTCTCACTCTTTTCTTTATCCTTAAGGAATTGGCTCCACCATAACCTATATTTAGGCAACTTCTTCAATATACAACATTGATGTTTCTATTTCTCCCTCTTTGAGATCAATAAAAATATATTTAAAAACAAAGAATTTAAAAAAAAGAAGAAGAAAAAGGACAGGGTCTCATCACTAGTGATGGAGAAGGGCAAGAAACAAAGACATTGGAAATCACTTAAAGGCAGAGCATGGGCCAAGGCCCTGGACATAACATTAGGAAGCCCCCCTTTTGTTCAATAATAA